AGCAGGAGGAATGGCAGTATATATATATATATATAGTTGTATTTATATATAGGCACATACTATGCAACATCCGCGACGATCAATGTCTTTAGTATTATCTAATTGTATGAGTTAACAGAGGAAGCACTGCTGTTAAATAGAGGATCTTACGTGGATTACAGTATTGAAAAGTGAAGCTAATTATTGTGTGATTGAATCTGTGAAGTAATTCCATGGACCATGCAGAGGAACGATGGAATTTCCTGTTTAAATCACTATCTACAAGATTGCCAAGCACTTTGTTTTTGTTTTTGTTTCTCTCTCTTTTTTTTGGTTGAAATCTCGCTAATGGAATCGGCCAATTTTGGACAATGAAAATGGGGTATGAGCATTGCTAATGAATGAATAGGCAATGCATTTTTCTTTAATGAACTTATTAGGTAATGCAAGTTTTTCATGAGAAAAAGAGACTTACACTTAGATTAATACATTTTAATTAAACAACTATATTAGTTAAAATATATTAATCAAGAATAAAAGATAAAAAACTTAACATAATGCATTCAAATTGTGAGTTCATCAATTTCTTTTCTAGTTAGATTCACGCAGAGATGCAAAAAGGGGCCCAACCGAACCGACTCAAGTCTCTATGGACCTAAGCATTAAGATGCAATCCACCAGTTTTTGGTTATATCACACAGGAAAGGATGGAAAAAATAGAGAATTTACCCCTAGAGAGTACAAGAATCTAGATCTTTACTCTTTACTCTTAATAAATACCTTTTTGTTAGTGTAATTATTTAATTAAAAGGGTTATGAATTAAGAATAAAAGATAAAAATACAGAAATAGTCTAAAATAGGCCAATATGAAAAGCTTAAGGAAGTATATAGGCCAACTTTTAGTTATATAAATTAATATGCCATAACTTATCAAGTTATGGTTAATAACCAGATAAGTTATAGACAAACTTGTCAAGTTATAGTTCATAGCCAGACAAGTTATGGACAAAAATCGTGATTTATGGACAATAACTTGTCAAGTTATAGTTTATAACCATACAAATTATGAAAAAAAATAATAATTCAACTTATTTATTAACTTATGTAAATTATTGACTTATTAATTTAAATAGTATATTTTCCCCATATTGAGGAGCATTTGTGAAGATGGGTTTGGGCTCGTACTTGCTCAATAAGCCAGAACTGGGAAACGGGCCTTCTTCTCAAGTGTATCAGTAACCTAGATCCAATGCCCGTAATAGATGTTGGGCCTTGCCGGCGAATTGCCCATGAAAGAGGCCCAAGATGGTGGCCGTACGTGGCGAAAACACGTATATAGCTGTGACTCTGCCATGCTGGATCACCCATAAGCGTGTTGCGCCATGCAATTTACACGTCCTCTATAGTCGCATGGACCTTTAAATTTGCCAGTATAGATTCTTCTGTCGGTTTTCCGACCACATTACTCTTTGAACTCCAAACTCAAATTTTGAAAAAACTCTCATCTTGCGTGAAAACGCTCAAAATCAAATTTCTGATCTCTTTCGCATTGATTTTAGTTCGAACCAATGAAAATAATAATAATAAATGAAAAAAAAGTCAGTGTTGAGTCCAGCTTTACAGTCTAAACTGTCTGTTAATTTTAGCCATCGTTCACTTCACGGATTCGAGTTTTCAATTTGAGTTGAGATGTGACATTTTCTGATAGCTTTTCATTGTAGTAAAAAAAGTTAGATGTGACATTTTCTGAGAACTTTTTACTGTAAAAACTTAAAACTGAAAATTTAAATCAGTAAAATGAATAAAACCTTAAAAACTCGTCTAGTTCACTATTTAAATTTTTAATTTAAATTAAGATACAATTTTATGTAAAATATCAAAAAAATTAAATATAATTATTTTTTAAAATTTTTTATTCTAATATAATTTAAATTTTAAATTTAAATCAATAAAATAAACTCAAGAGCAAAACCCAAAACAACATTTGCTTATTACTAGTGAAAGAAACCACAACACAACAAACTTTCAGAACCGCAGAGCGAAATGTGGCAACAAAGATTCCGTTTCATTTCTCTCCCACAGAGCCACCTAATTTTCTCTCATTTATTAATTTTTCAGTTTCTTTTTTCTTTTTTTTTTCTTTTTTTGGGTTAAGTTCCCAAAAGCCACACTGAAACTTGTTCCTCATGCAAAGTCCCTACTCACCATCTCACACATACGTGTCGCCACCTTCCCACTAGTCACCCTCCTATAAAACACCACTTTCTCACCCCAACCCTTTCTCACATATCTTATTTTCTCTCCAAAACAAAAAGATTTTCCCATCTCCCAAACATCCTCCTTAAAAAACTTCACCAAAAAACAAATACCATCTTCGAAAAAATGGCCGACCGTCCTCAGCCCCACCAACTCCAAGTCCACCCACAATATGGCGCTGGTAAGGGCTTTCAGCAGCGAGGAGAACAGCAGGGCCCATCAGCCGGGAAAATTCTGGCCGTCATCACACTTCTTCCCGTGGGCGGGACTTTGCTGTTTCTGGCGGGCCTGACTTTTATTGGGACGCTTATTGGGCTGGCTGTGAGCACCCCAGTTTTCCTTCTCTTCAGCCCAGTTCTTGTCCCCGCCGCCATTACTATTGGGCTCGCCATCGCGGGCTTTCTGACTTCTGGGGCTTTTGGGGTCACGGGCCTATCGTCGCTCAGTTGGGTCTTTAACTACTTCAAGCGGACCACGGTGCCGGAGCAGCTGGACTTCGCAAAGAGGCGCGTGCAGGACATAGCGGGCTATACGGGCCAGAAGACGAAGGAAGCGGGCCAGGAGATACAGAGCAAGACCCAGGAAGGGAAGAGGACCTGAGCTTGAAGGTGGAACAGAGAGAGCACAAGGGTGTATCTAGTAATGGCAGGGGAATAATGTGGGACTTTGCATGGTTTTATTTTATTTTATTTTATTTTATTTTACTCAACTTTACATAAAATGTTGATGCTCGGTTTTTACATCTATCTGTAGTTGCTTGCATGTGTCTGTGTCATGTGTTCTTTTTTTTTTTTAATTATTATTTAGTTTTATTATTTTTGCTCAGAATTTAAGGGGGTCGAGGATTTGGTCTGTCTTGCCACTTCGGCAACCTAGGAATGTCGTATTTTGGTGTGTCTATGTTGTCTGATTAATGAATCAAAATGTCTTTTTGTGGACTCTCTGTGTAAATCTCTCCGACTCTCTAACAAGCATAACAAAAAACGGGGGTACTTGTGGTTGGACCAAAACGACGTACCATAAGAAAAGAAGATGTGGATTTAGCCAGGGAAAAGAGAGGCAGGAAATGTGAGAAGCAGAAGTGATGAGTAAATCTTGTTGAGGCGTAACGCATTTTCAGCATTTATCTCGATTTTTTAATGAGTTCTGTATTTTTAGGGATACTCAATTTAATGAGAGAATAGCCTCTATCTACATTGTTTTTTTTTTTTTTAACTGGAAAAAATATATATTCATTCTCGTTCTTTGGTTCTTTTACTTATTAGACGTTTCAGACGAGCTATATTTCTCTGTTGGTGAGAAATGGTGGGTGAAATCAATGGAAATTTTCCATTTCACCGTTTCTCGAGACACTAACCTGAAGCTTTAATGGAAAAGTGATTTTGATGGTTCTGAATTATAGAAGAATATCAACATATTTAAAACCCAAAAAGAAACGGAAAAAAAAAAAGACAAACTAAAAATGTTGCCAAAAAAAAAAATATCATTAACAGATTTAAGGCCAAAATTCTACAACAAATATGCTCTCTTGAATTATATAAAAAATAAAAAAAAAATTACAGTTTACTAAGAAAGATGTTCATGTTGAGGTTGAGCCCCAGTTTCAGCTTCCATAGGACTAGGTTCCGCATTTGAGTCGTTGGGTATCCAAAACGTTAGAACAGTAGATGCAGCCACGAACATGACTCTGCGAGGGGCCCACTTCAGGCACGACGCTATTCCTATGCTACTGGTCCAGCTCGCCACCTGTTTGGTTACACAGCAGAGTTAAGAAATTGCTTTATGGTTGGCATCTACTTCGTGTGTAATGAATAGCGATGACGTATCTGAACTGTACATCGATACGTTATTTGAGGACACTAGCAACTTAAAAAGGTAATGTGTAAAAGTTTCTACGTGCTGGATTTTCTTAATTCTTCTTCTTGAAAAGAAAGAGGAGAATCATCTACCTTCATATCACACTAGAATTATATTAGATAATAAGTACAAAATTTAATGGAATTTATATCGAACATTTAGTTGGTGGATTCGTGTCATGATTCGAATCATGGTTCGTGGTTCGTTACAGTATTTTTTCTCACAATAAACACACGTAAATCAAAAATGATTCTGAATCATGACGAACCACAGTATTTTCTCTCATAAAAAACACACGTAAATAAAAAATGATTCTGAATCATGATTTTGAATCCATGAACTAAACGCTCATGTCCAACAAGAGCAAATGAGCATTAACCTGGTAGTCACTATAGTTTCAGGCGCTTCTCATAGGCCTCAAACTTGAGATTTCTCATCTATCAAATCACTTGCGAATAAGCCAAGCGCCTCAAACATAAGACCTCTCATCTACCAAATCACTTGTGAATAAGCCAAATGTCACTGGCTACAGTGGTTAATGATTTAGAACTTCTATATTAAAGTGGTTTTTCTTGCATCCTATTAAAAACTCTCCCAAATATTATCACTGCAAAAGCAAAAGACGTGTGATGGATGGATACCTCATTTCGCGTGTTGACGCTCCAGGCATGCAGAGTTCCGTCTCCTGAGCCTTCAAGTAGGAGAGGTCAAACTTAGCTTAGTTACGATATTCCGAAATTTACCCTTTGAAAGATTAAGATATTAGAAAATAAATTGCACTGCCACAACCCCTCAGAGCTCAAATGGCAAACATGATTTTCAAGAAAATGGGAAAGCATATGCTTAGACGTTAAATGAATACATTATTTACATACATAGCAATTAAGCGAGCTTCATGCTCCTGTATCACAATTCACAAACAATCTTCGATTCATATATGGCGCAGGGATGCCATAACAGATGAGAGGTTGCTCATTTCATACCTGACACCACATACTGGCCATCTGGAGTAAAAGTTGCCTCTATATTTGCACTGGGAGAGGGTTCCAAACTGTATCCGCAACGCTGCACAAAACAAAGTTCAAGCAGGTTAATGCATATTCCGTTTGTTAAGAGCATATAAACCTAAATATGTGCAAGTTGTAGCGTCTGTGTTCTCTAAGATTTTCTCTACGAGACATGACATGTGCAAGTGCAAACCATAAAGAAAATTTCCAGAAAGGCAGGCAGACAAGTCTGTATTCTGTAAGGAGAAAAACCTCACCTTCTCTCCTCCATAAGCGTCAAGAATGTAAACGTTGTTGTTTGTGGTTGTCAAGAGCATTGATTTGCCATCATTGCTAAATTTAATATCACAAACCTCGGCTGTGTCTCCACCAACGAGAAAGGTATCAAAGGGACCCTAATTTGCAAAGAAAAAAGTCAAGTTCCTTCATATAAAAGATCACAAACGATAAGAAAATGCTAGTACTTGATAGCTAGAAACCTTGTCATAGGAACGTGAATCAAACAACTTAATTGCACCCCCTTCCATTGCAACGGCAAACACAAGGCCTTGTTGGTCATAGGCAACTGTAGGTCTCCCACGTAGATGTAAAATTCCCTGAAAAATATATACAACAATAAGCATAAACTCCAATATTCAGACACTGAGGTTCAACAAAGAGGGTCATACATACATACAGACACTGGATATGAAAATAAAATTACATAATTCTGACATACTATATAAAAAACTCCTGCGCTCTATCTACATATCAGCATGTTACATGAGCAAGCAAACTTTTCTCAATCGACCTCATAGTTTTACCACTTTTATAATGACCTATTATCTATATTACAAAAGGAAAATACGAGAAGGTAAAATATAGAAAACAGACCTGGCAGGCATTTACACGGAGATCCCATATTCTGACACTGTGGTCCAACGAACCAGACATGAAGCTATCATTAACCGGAGACATACAGAGGGATAGTATTCTACAATAGCCAATTAATTGAAAATGATGAGTACACACAAGAAAAAAAAAACAAAAAACAAAATTGTGAAGAGGGATAAATGGAAGATCATTTAAGATGCATTAGTAACTTTGTTCTTCAGTATTAAGAGTGACAGAAAACTTAAGAAGAAATAGAAAATGAGAAAATGAAACAAAAGTGGGGGATAGCAACTGGTTTAGATTATTGAACTCAGAATGAGCAATATGTGGTACTTCTAAGTGTGTATTATGTGCATAGTTCATGTAAAAGATTATTGAATAGCTCATATATTCCAACGTTCAGCACATTCTACTACCCATCAGATGCTTAGTAGCTTACATTACATAAAATAAAACCAAACACCTAAACTTTTAAACTGCAGAAATAATGAGAACCCCACTTAACTTTCTGCAGGCTGTTTTCAAGTCTTAATCTCCTATGAATGCTAAAAGTACTTTCACTACAAAGATACAGATTCCTAGAGCAACTCAACTAGTCAATCTAACCATATCTGGTTATTATTAGAACTAACAAGAACAATTGTATCAACAAAATACCAAAAGATCCGAGGAATTAGGATCCAAACCTATCTCTGTGCCCCTTAAAGTAGCGAAGGCACCGATTATCATACATCGAAAGATACCTGAGTGATTCTGCAAAACAGAAACAGTTAACTTCAGATCAATTTCCTCATGCCGATAGTGGAATCATAAAATTGTCAAAAACAAAGAAGAAACTGACCTCCACTAGAATCCAAATTATATCTCGAAGAACATATAACAGAACTCGGATGATGGGTAAAGCATATTCGATCAGCTCCATGTTTCTTATGATATGTGGTCTTAAGCAACCTTAATTCACAACGTGAATACAAGTAAGTATTCCCCAAAGCTATAGTTCTTTGAAACCAAATTTATAAATAAACATAAAAGCCTAAAATTGAACAACAATTTCTAAACTCACTTAGCATTTGTAATGTCATAGAGCCGCACTGAATCATCCTCACTAGCAGTGACTAGTATATCATCCTTACGATGAAAATCAATAGAATTTATTTTTCCACCCTAAAAATAGAATCAGAACTCAGTTTCAAAAATCCCAAAAAAAAAATGGTGTGAACTGTGAAATTTACAGAACAACTAATATCACCACAGAAAAAACATAATCTTAATCCCTCAGTCAATAAACAGCTACAGTTGGGGAATGTAAAGTTGAAGAAAGCTTACGAAGTCTGCGAAAACGGCTCCAATGGCCATACTGCGGATAGTGCCGTCGTCTAGCTCCGTCAGCGACATCTTCCTCCCGATGATGAATTCTCGGCTGCTTTATTTCTGGTCGGAGAATACTCTAATTCCCTAAAACATATCAGAAATTGGGATATATTAATGAAAAAGTTAACTGAATTATTACGAATGTAAGGTTTTATTTATTTATAGGCTCGTAAAAAATACTTGTTAAATAGTATGAAATTAAGCTTTAAAACATTTGAAGTAAATATTACTAAAAAGTTTTTACCATATATATTTTTATTAAGTTGTTTTAAAATATTTGAAGTAAATATTAATAAAAAAGTTTTTTTTTTTACCGCATATATTTTTATTTATACTTAATAAAAAAAATTTAGACGTAATTTTTATTGAAAATTAGTAAAAATATTTTGCATGAATATAAATTTAATTTACTGTTGTTTATTTTTAAATAATTTTAAATTTTGTTATTTATTTTATCCCCTTTCAATTCAATAAATAGACCGTTTCGTATATATGAGCCACCGATTGGTTCATTAATTTGAATTTTATTGATTTGAATTTTTTTTATTTAAACAGTACAATATAAATTAATATTTAGATGTGTAATTAAAATTTTAATTTAAACAGAAAATAAAATTTGAATTTGTGTTTGTTAAGTGTGAAATAGAGAGAGCGAGCACTTTTTTAGTATTTAAAAATAATTTGAACAGTTGAAGTTAAGAGAGAAGTTAAACTCTAAGCCCTCGTTTGATTCTTTAATTTAAATTTTATTGGTTTAAACTTTTTAATTTAAATAGAAAAATTCAAACTGTGTGGTTCAAATAGTTTAAATTGGCGTTTAAATGTGTAGTTAAAATTTTAGTTTGAATAGAGAATAAAATTTAAATTTGTGTTTAGTAGGTGTGAAAAGTATAGAGAGTTGATATTTTTTACTGTTTAAAAATAGTTTGAATAGTTAAACTTGAGGGGGAACTAAATTTTAAGTTGGACTAACTCAGTTCAAACGAGCAATATAATTTAAACTGCATGCTTACTAAACATTAGTTCAAACTATGCTCATTATTCAAACTGAGTTGAGCTAAACTAAATTAGTGAAATAAATTAGGGCTAAATTAGACTATTTAACTTAATTTAAATAGAAAATATAATTCGAATTGTATATGTAATATAAGTTCAAATTGTATTCACCCTTGGAATTGAGTTTGAACCGAACTAAACAAACCAAGAAACAAACGGAGCTCACTATTTACTCGGAACCTGAGAAAAAAAGAAGACGAAAAGAAAAGAAAAGCTCTGCACATTCACAGTGTCGTATTTGTTTTTCTGCTAAGCAAAGTGAGTGTGAAGTGTCGTTTTGGTTTACCGCCACTATCTTGTATTTTCCTCCTCCTTCCTCCATACTCCCTAACTTTTGAGAATACAATCTCGGGCGCTTTTTCTTTCTTCTCTCAAACGTCAATGGATTCTTACTCTCCCTTGCTGGAGAAACTCCGGGTACCCCAACCCTCGCTCCAGAAATTGGCCGTGATCTCCATCTTCTCGAAGCTCCGATCGGCTCCCAAGTACCTGGACTCCGATTCCGATCCTGGAAGAGATGCCATTAACCAGTGCCTCCACTCGGCCTCGCCGGCCATTGTCGACCAGTCGGTCCGGGAGCTTTGTCGCCTCGTCGCTGACTCTCTAATGGACGTTTCTCGCGGCTTGCTGGAGCTCCAGTCTGCTCTCGAGGGATGCGAGCCTCGTTTCGTCGACCTCTTCGTCAAAGCCTTGGGCTTCCTCGTTCGATTAGGGCTTCAGAAGAACAGCCTCAAATGGCGCCTCGCTTCTACTGAGAGTCATCCCTTTGTTAAAGTAAGAATTGCGTTTTAGCTGAATCACACTGAAGTTGATTATGGAATTTGCAGTTTCGCAGCGATTAGGATTTCTTTTTTTGTTTGATTGATCGTTTTGAGAATTGGTGGCAGGTTCTTTCGTGCGGATCCGAGGTTCAATCTGAGCTAGTGCAGCAAATTTTACTGTTGATGGCATATAACAAGCAGTTGGGAATAGTTGACGTTTGTGAATTTTTGAGACCTTTTCTCAACTATTCGATCTTAAGAATATCTTTTTCAGATTCTTCGTCGTCAATGTTTGCGAGGCATTTGATATCGTCCCTGGCGTCGCTGTGCTGTTCTTTTTCCCTTGAGGCTATTCCTGTCCTTAAGTTGTTAACAGAAGTTCTTAGATACATTCCTTGCAAGAATTCAGAAGTAAGTACTCTTCTTTGGCGTCGTTTAATGGTTGAAAGGGCATGTTCGTTGAAATTTAGTTGAACTTTTCATCTCAATTGAATGCTAAGAACTACTCTTTTTTTTTTTTCAATTTTTTATTATTTATTTAATAATAATCTGTAACCCAGGATTCTAGGAATTTCATTTGTTTCGTGGAAAATATGGTGGACGCACATGTAGTGATATTGAGACATTTGGCCAGAAAGGGATTGGTAAGTTCTTAAGATTTTGTAATTGTTTGGTTTTCATCTTATGTTGTTTTGCAAACTACCCGTACGTTTAATGCCAGAGATTTGTAGATAAGCTTCCGTGATATGTTTGTTTTACCAAATTTTCTGTCCTTCATTGGCAGGTGATTGCTGAGGCTCAACTTTGCAGTTTGGAACTGTTAGAGACAATTCTTTCTGTGTGTTCATGTCATAGGTATTCCTATTGGATTGAGCCCATAGCTGAAGTCTCCAGGCGTTTATTGTTTGTTCATAAAGATCTTGGGTTTCGATACGTATCCAAATTATCTTCAGCTATTTTATCCCTATTTGTTATCCTCATTAAGACAGAGCTTGAGCATGAACAACTCTCTATATTGAGACTACTCCACTTCCTCTTGAATTGGAAATATGGAAATGGTATGCGTACTATTTTTTGGTCCAGAAGATTAACTTTTCTTTGGTATTAGTTTAAAATGTTCACCATGCAAGTGAATCATTCTGCTAACGCACTGTGATATTTGAATTTTATGGTCATATTTCCTCACTATCTTGTTCTACAAATAAATGTGAACTGTGGTCTTGTATTTATGCTTTGCTTCTTGGATGAATGTGTAGTTTTTCATTACCTCAAATATCAAGTTATCTTAGCTTTGTTTCAATTGTCAACTAAATCTATTTAACTCTTCCCGTGGTTCTGATGGCGTTATCAATCTTCTTTCCAATTGTTTTTTCCTTATATTGTCCTCATTTGCTTTGCAGAACTTCTTGTTGGCGATATATCATATACTTTGAGTGAAGAGGTCTTATTGATATTTCCTGTCATTAGCCTTTTGTCATCCCCTTCAAAATCAGTAAAAGGAGCAGCAACTGATCTTCTGATCATATTAGAGAAAATCTTAGTCGGTCCTTTTGTATCACCAGAGAATAAACCAACAAAAGGAGAATTTCCACCTATTAGCACACTTGGATCTGTGGTTTGTAGACTTCTGCAGCATCAGTGGTTTCAGGTTTAATTACCTTCTCCAGTCAGTTTTGAATACATATATATATATCTATGTTTGGGTCTGAATATGATATATTGGCAGCTTACTGAAACTGTTATGTTTTCTTACTCTATGAGCGATTATGTTGAAAACAGAATCTCCAAATTATCTAATTTAGGACTTCCCCTCGTTGCAGAAATATAGTAACTTGTACTCCAGAATGAGCAAGACCAAGATAAATGAAGTTTTACTGAGCATTTTTGTTTTGTTACAGGACCAATATTCACCATCCAGTCTGTTTTTAAGTTTTGCTTCTAGTTGTGAAACTGATAGCAAAGAATTACATGACGTGCCAAGATCTTGGCCTTCTCAATTAAGAAGTTATTGTTTATCAATTGTTGACAGACGAAAGTCCTTTCTTCCACTCTCTCCGTCTCAAGAAATTTTTGTATCTGGTAAATTGTTTAGACGCCTCCTTCATTTGTCCATGTTGCCATTCATGCAATTATGTGGTGCTTCATATGGCTTAAATTCTTTTAAAGTGGTAAAATTCATTATGTATCGTATTCAAATCTCCATGTCTTTTGTTTCTGTAGAAATGCCCATGTTACTGTCTGCCATTGCTGGTGTTTTGTTGATGCATCAGTCGTTGGGGAGCATCGTTGTAGATTCTTTGAATTCTATTGCCATGATGGACTCTAAAACAGGAACTCAATTTTTGCTAGCAATCTTATTTTATAGTAATGTATTCACCAAGAAAGATGTAATCGGCCAAAATATGTTGGTAAGTTTTCCTTTTATTTCTGAACTCGTATCTCTTGTACTTGATCTTGGTATCTTATGTTCTCCTCTTTCAATCGTTCTACAGCTAAAATTGCTAGGAATGCTTCCAGCACTTGCTTCGCATTCTTGGATGACACCAGTCATAGTCCAAACTATCTTGCCAATGCTACAGAAGGATTCTAAACCGTATGTACTATTTAGCATTTCTCTATTGTGATTTTTCTTTTGTGTTTCTTCGTGTTCATTTGATCTAGTCATCAATGTTGCTATCCACAAGAGAAACATGCTTGTGTATGTGAAATATATTTGCTAGGTTTTTATCTAGATTACCTAATACTTTCATTAACTGATTTTAATCTCCAGAACCTTATATGCAACAGCCATTCGCTTGCTTTGTCAAACCTGGGAGATGAATGACCGTGCCTTTGGGAGTTTGCAGGTGTTTTGCTGTCTCTTAGATTCCATCTTATGGCATGCATGATCGTCCAAATACCATGCACCTTTAAATTGAATCCTTGACTTTTTTTTTTTTTTTGGCTAAATGAATCCTTGACTTTGGAAACGACAGAGAATGCTATAAAAATGCCAACTTGGCTAAACTTCTGTGCACTTTCCTTGTCTTAGTTTATATTGCTAATATATTCTTGGATGTTGGATTTCTTCTTATTTAGGGAGTATTGCTTCCAAAAGCGTTTACTGAGTTCAAGTCGCAGAGAAATATATGCATCAGTATTGCTTCTTCTATCAAGTATGTTTGCAGAAAAAACCCTGACAGGGGCGTGGACCTCATCTTGTCTGTTTCGGTATGGATTTTGTAGCCATTTCGTTCTTATTTTGCAACATCCAGACAGTTCTAAGGTGTATTTTTTGTTTTTGCATGATCATATGAATAGGCTTGCATTGAGAGCCGCGATCCTATAATTCAAGCTTTTGGTTTTCAAAGCCTTGCTCATCTTTGTGAAGCTGATGTAATTGGTAATATTGATTTTCTGTGTGCTTTTACTATAATACAACTATATATATTTATTTGTGCATGTTGGCTTGTAAGTATGTTTTCTTCCTCCCCTTCATGTCTCAACTGCAGCTGAAACTTGAATAAATGCAACTCCTTCTAAGTATTGGATAGAAAATCTTGTATTTTAGCAACCATTGAAATCTAATTCTCTTTTTAATAATTGGAATGTTTGTTTCTTCGGATTTTTTTTCCTGAGATAACAAAATGGTTAAACCCAACAGAATGTGAATCTTTCTGTGGGCCTGGGCGTTGCAGTTCAATAGCTACTTTCTGATGCTCCAGTGTTGACCTCGAATTTTATATTTCCATGCCTTTTTTTCCCCCTCTATATGAATGTACTAGGTTTATTCGGTTGACAAGTATACAATGTCGTGAGAACCTTTTTGCATGCTGCTTTTCAGATTTTTATACAGCTTGGGACGTCATCTCAAAGCATGTGCTAGACTACTCCGCAGATTCAATTCTGGCACACAGGTAAACTTCTTTAGGTTTGAAGTGTAAACTGTAATTCAAGATTGTGGGCCAATTTTATACCTTCATTTACCACGTCACCTTCAACGGATTTATAACAGATCATTTGACTTGTAACTGTTACTTCAAGTATCATTTCACTTTTTGAAAAAATTGGTTTTTAGATATTTCATTACCAGTTGTTTATTAGATCAAGCTTATAAATTTTAATACTCTTTGCGTGCCTTGGTTTATGCTTATTGGCAGCATTTGCCTTCTTCTAAGATGGGGTGCAATGGATGCTGAAGCATATCCAGAAGCTTCAAAGGATGTTTTGCAAATTTTGTGGGGTATTAGCATCTCTACTCCTGATCAGGCACGTCAATGGGAAAGGGCAAGAATCTCTGCCCTAGAGGCCTTGGCTCAATACGAGGTAAATTTTATGAATGCTTCAATGTGTGTTTGCCTATAAATTCTTTCCCATATTAATGGTATGATCTGAAACTTTAATTGTATTAGACATATGTACTTCTTTAATTGTATTAGACATATGTACTTTGTTTTTGTTATAACCTCACGTGCTCTCCTTTATTTTGTGCACTTTTCAGGTATCACTCATTGAGCAAAAACTTCCAGATTTCAAGAAACTGTTTGCAGATTTGCTATTTTCTGAAACAAATCTGCACGTACTGAGAGTCGTGGAAGAACTTCAAGTCAAGATCATAACATATGAGCATATGTAAGGAATATATATTTTTACTTTATCTGTACCAGTGGAAGAAAATCTTTTGCAAAAATTAACTTTGAAAACTTTGTGTGTATGCTTCAGTACAAGGAGACGACTGCGCAAGGAAAAAGGAGTTGCAGGAAGCAGAGTTGAGAAGTTGCTGGATGTATTTCCTCAAGTTATCTTTTCTTCAGGTATCAAAAGTTGGTTACATTGTGATTACGTTAAGACAAATTGTTTTCGGTTTCTTGCTTTTATTTAAAAGAAAATTTCCACTATTTTTCCTTTAATTGATAGTTAATTAAAATTAGTAATTTAATCGCTTTAGATGATTTTAGATAGTTTTAGTCTATGTATTTCTGTTCCTATGTTTTCTTTTTCTTTTTTTTGGTTTATTTCGTATGTTTTCTTTCTTTTTTTCTTTTTGTTTATTGAGGATGTCTTATCCTCTTTCCTTTTTTCTTTGAATTTGATTTTATTATTAGTGGAAGAAAGCTTTCTTTCTTTATCAAAAAAAAAAAAAAAAACTTGATTAGTAGCATACAATACTTGAGCTGAACGTTTACCAATCAGTGGGATTTGTTTGGAAAAGGGTGAAACCGTATTTTATGATTTTTCTTGTTTAACTAAATTGAATGTTAATTCCAACTAAGGATAAATTTCTATGTACGAGTTTTTGTATGTTGATTCTTTTTATCTGTTAACCTATAACCTTAATAGTAATCTTCATACTTCTATGTATTGTTCGCATATGTGACTTGTAGAGCATTTTAGTATTTAGTTGCTGGCTTTCAATGTAACTGGTAGAGCATATTAGTATTTAGTTTCTGGCTTTTAATGTGTAACATCTCATCTGCAGGAAAAGGTAATAATGCTAGAGACTTAGCTGGTGCGGCTCTGTTGTGCCTTTCCTTTACTCCTAAAGTTGTGAATTCCCAGAGGACATCAAAGGTAAGATAATTGCGACTTAAAACACATTGATTTTTCTGTGGGTTTTTTTCTTTTCTTTTTTCTTTTTCTTTTTCCCTCCTAACATTAATTTATGTTCAGGGATTAAGTGATGTACATGCTGAATATGAGAAGGCGCTTCTAGAACTAGCCACTTCTCTTCAACTCTTAAGAAATATTTTTATCGCTCTTATTTCTCTTCAATCCTGGAAAACTTTTGTGCGTCGTTGGCTTAGAGCTGATATTTTGTTCTTTGACGCTAAAGCTCCATCAATCAGCTTAGATAAAACCACTAAAGCTGCTAATGACATTCTAAAGGTACAATATCTATTGAAATGGGGAAAAGAAAATCTGGAAAAAAACATTACTTATGCATTTGCACAGCTTATACTCATTTACTTGTAAATTATTCTTTTTGAATTTTAGTTTTACTCTTTTCTCTTCATTTTCACCTTTCCTTTTATCATGCAGAGAATGATACAAATAGCAAAAGATGCTATCCCTAGATCTTCTGAAAATATTGCTCTTGCCATCGGTGCACTTTGTGCTGTAAGATGTTTTACGTAGCTTTACACTTTCTTCTCTTTATGCGTTAACTTAGTTAGGAAGTCAATGAATACTAGAAATAATACGTATCCCCCTAGGCAACGTGCAATAGCGTCCTAACTGTGCCAATGAACACTTAAAGAATGCCAAAAGCTTTAGATTCTTCGTCCAATATATATTCCCAAACAATGAGAAATTGACTTTGTTGGACTTTCACTAGCTAAATATTCTCAAATTTGTCTGCTTTATACTCAAATAGGTCTTCAATCCATTCATCTTTTTTAAATCACTTCGACTAAAACAGCCTAGATCCATTTAGTAGGTATTACTTTTATGACTGACATGCTATGCTGAGTCCAAAATCCGTATCCCTGCTTTTGTTAGGTCTTGCCTCCATCTAACCATACGGTTAAATCAGCTGCATCAGAGTTCCTATTGAGTTGGTTGTTCCAGCATGAGCATGAGCACCGCCAGTGGTCAGCCGCAATTTCTCTGGGTTTGATCTCAAGTTGCCTACACGTAACTGATCATAAGCAGAAATTTCAGAACATAACGGGACTTCTTGAGGTATATAAAGTCTAGCTTGAGATTCTTCCTCATATTTTCTTTGTTTTTTTTTTTGGAGAATGCTTATGATTTTTTTTTTTTAATTTGAGATAAGATATTTAATATGTTCTAAATTTCATCATACTTGCCGACTGATAGAACCTTGATAGATTCTGTCGCAGCATGTAAGGAAAGATTGAGAAAAAGATGAATTTGAGTGAGATTTTATTGAAAACAATGCTGATTGATACAAATGATATGCGGAACTTCGAGGGTCCGTAACCTCCCCAGTTGGAATGAACTCCAAGATTTTCCCAGGACAAACCTAAAATATTTCCCTCCCTTTCTCCGTTCCTCTCTCCCCCTTTTATTCTCTCTCTCTTTGCTCTACTAACTAGAAACTAACAATCTTTCTTAGCAAGTCTACTAACAATCTTTCTTAACAAGCTAACTAACAATCTTTCTTAACAAGCTCTAGAAACAATCTTTCCTAACAAGCTTTCTAATTCTTCTTATTCTTCCTAATGTATACTTGCCTAAGTAAAGGCTTATCACCGACATTTTTAAATCATTTCATCCATAATTGGTACCTCGGTGCTTGGGTAGTGGAGCATTTAGCGGAATATAGTGTATTACTAATTTTTATTTTTATTTTTGTTTTAAGTATTTTATTTTGTTTTTATTTTTATTTTTTTCATTTTTTTGTCTATATTGAATGTCTTTTCATTTTTTCCCCCCTTGCATATCGATTGTCTTTGTGTAAGTTTTGCCAATATCAAACAACCTGAAAAGTTAAAATATTTGTGCATGTTGAATAATATCTTTCTACCTAAACGTTTCACTTTTAAGTTGTATCTCATCTCACATCACAAAGAACGACGGAAGTCATATGAATCTGAAGCAAGATGATCTGTTGAAACTATCTAGTCCAGGTTCCTTACCCAGCGTGTTCTTTCAGGTTTTGTGTAAAAGTAAAAGCACCCTTGTCAAAGGAGCTTGTGGGGTTGGCTTGGGTTTGTCATGTCAGGATCTTCTTAATAGGGTTGACACTGCTGATAACTCTGACTTGGATGAAGAAACAAACAAGACTTCAGAAGCGGACTTACTAGGAAATATAGTTGGCACCTTATCACTCATAATATGTCAGTTCACTCAATCTTCGTTTGATATTGTGGAAAGTCTTTCTGCATATTTCCCACCAAATACATATGGTATAGATGCCAATATGAATGCTGAATTGTCACATGAGAACTCGGATAATTTGGAGGAAGATATATGGGGTGTTGCTGGCGTTGTTCTTGGCTTGGCAAGGTGCATTGGTCCAATGTACAGAGCTGGGTTACATGATGCAGTACTCAAAATAAAAAGGTTAATTGTGTCGTGGATTCCACACTTAAATCAACTGAAGTATTCTGGTTCTAGCTCTGAGATTCTCTCCGTGGGATCATGTCTAGCACTTCCCTCTATTGTGGCTTTCTGCCAGAGGGTGGAACTGATGGATGTGAATGAAGTAAACCAATTAATGAATGGTTATAGAGAACTCATTTCAGAGTTAGTATCGGTCAAAAGATCAGGCATTTTCCATCAAAGCTTGTTGATGGCATCTTGCATAGGAGCAGGAAGCCTTCTTGCCTGCGTATTGGATGAAGGGGTGCAGTCCATCGAAGTTCAATCTGTAAAAGTTCTGCTGGAATTATTCAGAAAATGTTATTCGGACCCATATCCTCCTCTGGTCTCTTTGGGTGGGATGCTTGGAGTTGTTAATTCGATGGGAGCAAACGCTGGAATCTTCTTTCAGATGCATCCTCGAACTGTGAAACTGCATACTGGTTATGAAAAGAAGGTAGCTATTTTCAGTGTCTTCCTGGGCGTAATGTGTTCTCTCTTTTTCTCCTTTTGTCTTCAGGTTTTAACGTTTGGAAGTTATTGTGTTAATGAAACAGGAATCTAATCACCTCATTGGTCCTCTACTTTCAAGTCCCAACAGTGAGCCACATTTAACATCATTAACGCAAGAGATATTTCTCATTGCTCAGAATTCTGATGACCATCAATTGCAGCAATATGCGGCATGGGCAGTTTCTCTCCTGCGAATTCAGTTATGGTCCAAGGAAAATCTGAATCTTGACGTTGGTATTAAGACGGACATAGCTGGTTCAGAATCTTCTCAAAATTTCACTGATGATAATGCAGTTATGAAGCTATCTTCATGGCTAATGCATCTCAATATTTCTGGGGTAAGTCTCTTGCTCGAAGTTGTGCTGCATTGCTTTCTCTTTCAGTTAGTCTTTTCATGGTATTTTCCCCCTTTATTATTTATTTTTCTATTGATTCGTTAGTTAAAGATGTACATGGAAAGAGTCATTCATGACATAATCAATTCTCCAGAATTCCTCTTTATTTATACTAAACTTTATAATTTGCACGTAATACAATCTCTCTCTGGTACACACAGAGAGCGGTGCAAAAAGAAAAGAAATGTAGTTTGTGGGAATACCTGCTATTTGTCATTCTGATTTCTTGTATTTCAAGTCCAGACAGGTGGCAATTCACATATCAGCACAGTTGTGACGGTGTTGCGCTGCCTTTCAGAAGCTCCTAGGTTGCCAAGTTTAGATTGGGGGGCAATTGTTAGGCGCTGCATGAGATATGAGGCTCAGGCTTCTGAATTGCTACTGTCGGATCCAGCATATAGAAAAGGAGTGCTTAGGGAAGAATGTATTAGCTTCTCTCTAGCTCATGCAAATCAGTTTGATCCACTCTTGAATTTCCTTGATGAACTATCTGATCTGCCACGATTTAGAACACTTGAGATAAATCTGCAATCTTATCTGTTCATTCATATTGCGGACCTTGTAAAAGTATTCTCAGGTTCCAGGCTTGAAAAACTATTTGACGATGTGACCATTTATCTGTCTTCAGTTACTTCATACCAAGCATATGATCCTAATCAGAAAAGCATGTTAAGAAAGTCCTGCTGGAAGGGTCTCTTTCAGTGTTTTGACGAAGCTTCTATCGACTCTCTAGAGTACGCATCTCACATTGAGAAGAGCATGGAGATGCTCTTTTCCTTGTTGCCTGCATTGCAATCTGATTTCACCACTGGCACGAGTCAGGTGAACTATAAGGAAGAGTGGTCTGACGCAGTTAGATGCCTAGCAAAGGCTCGGCGGAGTTGGTTAATGAATTTCCTAGAGGTATATTATTTGCTAATTCATTCATTTCTCTGAGTAGATATTGTCACATCATCTTCCAGTTTGAATATTCTATTTGAGTTTCTACGATTAGCAGTCCTTGGGATCGAATTATTTGGAATTATAACGATTTTATTTTATTATTATTTTTTTCCATATCACAGGTGTCTCAGGAAGACCTACTACAAAAAGGTGATCAGTTTATTGAGGTCCTGAAGAAGGTTCAAGCCAAAGCTAAATTAACTAGAATTGGTTGCTTGGCATCTGCTGAGTTGGGGAGACTAAAAACTCATTTATTGAACACTAAATTTCAAGGTTAGTTTTTCTACCTCATTTATTGAACTCTAAATCTCATGGTTTTTTTTAGCTCATTCATTGAACTCTGAATCTAATGGTTTGGCCTTTTCCGATTTCCTAATTTTTGTTAGCTATAGTTGCTTTTCAGTTAATAATAGAAAACTGCATTATATAGTATGAAAGTTGTCTATTTGGCTTGTTCATTTTGGAGGGGTCTTAAAAACAAAAAGTACTTCGAGTGCCGTTTTAACTTGTTAACATTTTCAGGTACATGGGATTTGCTCATTGAAGTTGTAGCAGCTTTGCAAAATGTGGAGGGAGGTGTCAGGAGACAGTGGCTCATTGATGCTGTAGAAATCAGCTGTGTCGCAACCTATCCTTCCACGGTAGGCGCTTGACTCGATTTCCTTCGATTGTTGACATAAAAAATTTTCATTCAGCTTCTTTATTGTCTTGGACTTTGGGGTATCAATTCTCGTACATACAAACGAAACCTGTGATGTTCATAATGTTTTTCCTTATTCCCCTACAGGCGCTGCAGTTTCTTGGCCTACTAGCTGGTAGCCGCAGCAAGTATATGCCTCTTCTGATTCTTGATAGACACACCGTGCTGAGCGATTTACCGGTTACGCTTAGTTCTCTTCTGGCAGAACCCGGTTGGAGGGACATTGCAGAATCTGTTGCTTCTAATCTTTTGGCTTCAACAGAGCGCATTTACAACTGGGAAAAACATATTACACGAGACGAGGACACAACTGAGATGCAGCCAATTGATGAAAGTGAGAATGAAATGGCTGGTTTTGTGTTGCGTGTTGTGCACCGTACTTGTTTATCTCTCAAAGACTACTTGCCTCTGGAAAAACAGCTTAAGCTCGCCAGCATGGTTGTTGATTGATATAAATATACGGCCCTTGTATAAAAGTTTTGTAATTATTTGATTCAATTAAAATTCCAATTCTTTTGTATATTATTCCCACGAGGTTCCTCTTTGAGTTGCGTGCGGCGAGCATTGATGACACCGCAAATGATATGTCGTTTTAATTATAAGGAGATCACTTCAGGAGCTTAGCTTGAATATGAGGTGTAATTTGCTAAATCATAGCGAACAAAACGAATCTAGACGCATATCGTCGAAAAGGAATTTGAAAGTAAAATGAATGCAAAAACGACAACAAATATAATAAGTTAATATTATTATTATTTTGGCTAAAGACCAGTGTAATAAGTTAAGCGATGAACCCCAGTGTAATAAAGTGCTCTATTGGTAGAGTATTGTTTTTTTTAACTGTTGGATTAGTTTTTTAACTTATCAATCTGTTCAGATCTGTATTAAAAATTTACAGCGTGGCATGCGGAACTGTTCTTACTGTATATTTAACCGTTGAAAAAATAATCCAACTAAAAAAATAGTGTTCCACCATAAAGAATCCCAGAAGTTAATAACAATGAATGCAGACTCTCAGTTTATTTGTTGTTTTTTTTAGAGATTCTCTAGTACGCTTAGTGTACTGATAGGTTATGTTTTTCTAACTATTAAATTTACGTATTTTTTAATTTTTACGTGATTTTATATATATCCGACGGATAAAAAATCTGATCTACCAGTATATTAGTGTACCGAAAAAGTCTTTTTTTAGAGAGCAAGATTTGTTTTTTTAAGAATTTGAGGTGGGGATCTTTGAACTCTACCCCCGGAGTCGGTCAGGTATGGTGATAGACTATACTTACAACTACAGTGGAAACAAGTTTTTGAACGAAAAAGGAAAATAAGAGCTTGTTTGTTTGTTACGTTTAAATTCATAATTATAATTCTGTTACAATATTTTTTTCTCATAAAAAACTTAAATTTTAAATGTCAAAACTAAGAATCACTTGAAACGCATGAACTAAACTGACTTTAAACGGACCTTAAAATGTTATAGTTTTAGCTGGAGTTTTAAACGACGAAAATAGAAACTAAAACGACAATAAGAAGTTAATCTATTTATTTAACAATGGAACTACTTTTATCAATTTAGGGACTAAAAATTCAATAAAATTTTTAACATAGGAATTATTTTTAAAAAGATAAGATAATATAAGGACTTTTAACTATTTATAAGATACTTTTTAAATAAATAAATTATGAGAAAATTATAAGATACGATTTATTTTTTAGTTTTATTTATGAGACAAACTTAATCAACAATATTAAACTAAATAAATAAATAAATAAAAGGACCAGAATGAATAGGAAAACGACGTATTTAACTTAAAGCCGGAGGGGTGAAATCATAATTTTAATTTTCTTCTTAATAGTTAATCCTTCCTTTCCCCTCACATTTCCTCATGTCCTCATCTGAGCGTACTGCGGGTCGGCTCCGTTTCCAAAATCCCATCCTTTTTTCGCTACTCATGAATCGAACTTTATTCCATTTCGTTAATCGAATTCAGATTCTACCAACGAACTTCTCTTCAAATTCATTCTCTAACGTGAATTCACTTCGAAAATCCAATTTCTCATCTTCTTCTTCTTCTTCTTCTTCTTCTTCTTCTTCTTCTTCTTCTTCTTCTTCTCTAATAACAATTCCAGACTCAAACCCCAAACCAGCTTTAAACCCACTTTACAATCTTCTTCCTCCGACCCAGAATCCCCACAACATCGTCAATCTCATCTGCTCAAGCCTCAGACACGAAACGACACATCTTTCTCTTCTTCAAAACGACATAAAAACGCTTCTTCCCTATCTGGGTCCCAACGAAATCTCGAGGGTTTTGTTGAGATGCCAATCCAATCACTCTTCAGCTCTTACCTTCTTCAATTGGGTTAAAAACGATTTGGGTCTCAGACCCACCACTCAGAACTACTGCATTGTTGTTCATATTCTAGCTTGGTCTCGAAAGTTCTCTCCCGCCATGAAACTGTTGACGGAATTGATAGAAGTTTCTCCAAAAGACGACATTTTTCAAATTCTGATCTCCAGTGCTGAAGACTGTAACTGGGATCCGGTTGTCTTTGACATGCTCATAAAGGCTTATGTGAAATCAGGTATGATCCGAGAAGGTTTCAGTACTTTCAGGAAGATAATTGAGGTTGGTTTTTTCCCAAGTGTGATTTCCTGTAATTGTCTCTTGCATGGATTGGCTAACTTGAATTACATTGAAAATTGTTGGCGTGTGTATGAAGAAATGGGGAGAATTGGGGTCCACCCAAATGGCTATACGTTCAATATTTTAACTCGTGTGTTGTGTAAAGATGGGGATGTGGATAAAGTTAATGTTTTTATTGAGAAGATGGAAGAGGAAGGTTTTGATCCTGATGTGGTCACATACAACACTCTTATCAATACTTACTGCAAAAGAGGAAAATTAGAGGATGCATTTTATTTGTACAAGATCATGTATAGGAGGAATGTTATGCCTGATTTGGTTACTTATACAGCCTTGATGAATGGGCTTTGTAGACAAGGAAGGGTAAAAGAGGCTCATCAGCTTTTCAATGGGATGGTCCATAGAGGTTTGAACCCGGATGTCCTGTCGTATAACACTATTATTAGTGGTTATTCCAATGAGGGGAAGATGCGAGAGTGTAGATCACTATTGTATGAGATGATAGGGAGTGGAATTTGTCCTGATAGTTTCACTTGTAGGATACTTGTGGAAGGATATCAGAAAGAGGGTAAGTTGATCTCTGCTGTGAATTTGGTTGTCGAGCTTAAGAGATTTGGAGTCTCTGTTTCTTCTGACATTTATGGTTATCTGATGGTAGCATTATGTCGAGCAAATCACCCGTTTGCTGCCAAGAGTCTTTTGGAAAGAGTTTCTCGGGATGGATATGTGCCCGATATAGTTATCTATAATGAGCTGATTGAGTCTCTATGCAAATGCAATTATGCGGAAGAGGCATTGGTTTTGAAGGTTGATATGTTAAGAATGGGCTTTAAACCGAATCTTGTCACGTATAGAGCTCTTGTAGATTGCTTGTGCCGCGCAAATAGAAGTGAAGAAGGTGAATCCTTGATGAAAGAAATGGTGGAATCCGGTTTATCACCGGATCTAGCGATGTGTAGGGCATTAGTAAATGGGTACTGCAAAGAAAGAGAAGTTGCTAAAGCAGAATCACTATTGACCTTCTTCGCCACGGAATTTCAAGTTTTTGACACCGAAAGTTATAATGCACTTGTCAAAGTTTTCAGCGAGCATGGTGATACAGGCAAGTTGTTGGATTTGCAGGATAGAATGCAGAAAGTAGGTTTTGCACCAAATAGCTTGACATGTAAGTATGTGATCCATGTTTTATGGAATAGTACAAGAATTGAAAAGGGCAAGCTCCAACTAGAACGAAACTAGAAAATTTAGGGAAGACTCGATTTCGCTTGTCTTCTCTTTTAGCAGTCGATCTTGACTTCTTCTTATCTCTTTCTTCAGAAGTAAAAACTTGAGAAAGAGAGGCGGGAAGCTACTCAACTTGTTTTTCCGTAGTGAGCGCGTATCAGTCTCTAAAGTAATCGGTTGAACGCGGTCTAGGTAGAAGTGTTCCTGCGCTTGTGCCGGAAGTCTTTAATACTTTATTGATGCTAGGGAAGGGAGTAGCTATTGAATAGAATCAAGTTCAGCAGTCCAGGCGGGAGGAGTAAATCCGTAATTCCCGTAGTTCCAGAGGCAGGAAGCGCAAAAAGCTGTCAACAAGGGCAGTACCGGGGGAAGGAAGCAGATGGAATCCAGCCGGACAAGCACTGGCTTTCGGCAGACTAGCTCGCTGCTCCAGATAACTAATACAAAGAAATAAGAATAAGAATGAATGTCACGTATGGCGCTGCCGAAGGAGCTCTTGAAAGGGTTCATGATGTAGCTCGTAATTACAATGTTTCACATCTTGGACTGATTTGGACAATTTGAGGCTTGGAATTAAGAGCATGGATACTTTGGTGGAGTTATATCAATGGCTGGGTATTTACAATGGAACACAAGTCTACTCTAATGCTTTGGACCAAGTTATTGTTAACCTCCCAATTGGAGCATGTATTACTATAACCAAGCAACAAACTACTTGGTTTTGCCACTATTAAAGCTCCTATTGATCCTTAAAGGCTTCGTGAGAGGCGGCTGATATGAACCTCAAGTGTTATATTTTGCTTTTTTGGAGTCCAAAATTTTCTTGCCTAGAAGTGATCTCAAGATAATATGACACGTTTTGTTGAAATCCTTCTTTAGGGGATGGCAAGTTATCTGCTAGAAATGACGCACCAATAGTCTTTCAATCCATTTTCAAATTAAAATAAAAAATAAAAAAAAGTCTGAGACTCATGGTCCATTTAGTTCGCTGATTCGAGTTTTTAATTCGAGTTGAGATATAACTTTATGTAAGAGTTTTTTATTGTAGCAAAAAAGTTAGATGTGACTGTTTCTAAGAATTTTTTTAAAACTCAAATTTTAAATTCGAATCAGTGAAATAAATGAGGTGTGTATATAACTAAAAGTTTTCGTATGAGTTAGTGGGGACAAATGAAATGAGTATTCTCACAAAGGGACTTTTATTTCGTTTAGCAAGATTTATGTTGGTAGATTGACTTGATACGGATTTTTTTTAATTTGAATTTGGTATTGGAGATTTGAACTCTACATATGAGGCAGAGTCAATAGAGTTGATAGGAGAAGTTTATTTACCAATGAAAAATGATAACGTTATAACCGTTTTTATTACTTCTTTTTTAGTAGAACCGTTATTATTACTTTATTTTTCTTGATTTCGTAAATTTGGAATCAGATGTAAATTTACCGCTGAATTGTATTTATGGGTAATTGGGAATTTTTAATCAATCATCCCCAAGAGTGTTGTATGGAAACCAACAATGATGACTCTCCTTATATTTGTATAGGGGCTTGTTTGAGTGAGATTCATCCAATTTCACTTGCTTTTTCTCATGGCTTTTGTTAAGCATCGTCTACGCTTAGTTCTATCTCTCCTTTTCTTTTCCTTTTTTTTTTCCTTTTCTTTTCTTTTCTTTTCTTTTTTTTTTTCCTTTTCTTTTCTTTTCTTTTCTTTTTTTCTTTGCAAAATTAATCTTTTTTCTTTTGCCACTGAAAATTAATCAATAATTTAAGCTGAATGATGCCACACAAGGCGAGTCATGTTTCGGATGAACCGAGGATTTCAGGTCACTGTCTGAGCATATTAGCATGGTAATCTATGTTGGTTGCCAAGAACAGAAACCGTAGGTGGTCCTTTCTGGATTTTTTTTCTTTATTTTATTTAAAAAAATTCTCTAATACGCCTGGCATATTGATAATCACGTTTTTTTTATTATTAAATCTGCGTACTTTTTAATTTTTACGTGATTTTATGTCATATATGACGGACAAAAAACTTAATCTACCGATATGTTAGCGTACTTAAAAATATCTCTTTTATTTATTAGTAGTACCAACGTGGAATATAGATTGAACTTTGCAACGAGGAAAATGATGCGAAAAAATTAGTTGGATCAACACATGCTTTCTTGTAAGAACAAACAGAATGGGAATCAGATCCCATATATATTTTATGTGATCATTTAATTGATTTCAACAGAAAATTCAACTGACTTTTTAGTCCTAGACACATCCAAACAGATGAAATTGATCACTTAACTATACCGACCAAGTATCCTTAGGTGGGTAGTCAAAAATCAGGAAATTTCCCTTTAGACATGTCCAAGCATACAAATAACAAATCTTGGAAGATAAAATTTCAGCAATAAGAGGGATTCAGAAGATTAGAGTTCTCTACGATTTACCATTTTACCTGACTGTACAAGCTCATTATTATTAGTCCATCCTCAAAACTTATCGTCTCTGGTTGACTCTTCGTTCCCCGATGTTGGGCTCGGACTCTGCTGGGAATCTTCACCTGGTTCCATGTCCTCACCAATTCCTTTTTCTTCATTTTCAGCTTCCCCACTCTCTGATGAAGCGACTTCCTGGGAAACAATGGATGCCGGTTTTTCACCACGCTTAACATCAGCATCTGATGACCCCTTTGAAGTGGATGGAGAATTTTCTGTGCCACTTGGGTCATTGCTAGGAGTACTTGGTGTCAACCACATAAATTTCAAATTATGGCCTTGCCAGCATTTCCCATTAATAAATGCCCTCTCAGCGGAACGGCGTGTCACAAAATTTACATGAGCCGAGCAATCTTTTGATACCTCTGACTCGCTACTACCATCATAGCCTTCCACATCTTCTAGCTCCACATTCGAAATGTCACCGTACTGTAAGAAGTGTTCCCTCACCACAGCAACCTAAAAGGCATGAAGAAAATCACTTCACCTCCCATTGTTTTATAAATAAGAGTAACATGACAAACCAAGAATGTAAGGATGCAACTAAAACAATAAGCTATGAAGGCCACATAAACTTGAATGTGTATACAGAGCCATAGAGGGAGAAGGAGAGAAGAAGCTTACATTTGTAAATCCAGCCGGTAAAGGTGGGAGGATTCTAAATGCTGTAGGACGATTGTCTAATTTGTATCTGTTCACCAGAAAAGGAGACCCCACCGCTACAAATGGACGAACTGGGTGCTGCTTTGAGGTCATAGATTCCGACAGACCGACAGTTGTATTTGTTTTGGGACTATGGGAGACAATTTTATCTCCCGATTTGTTCTTATCTGTCATTGTATCAGCATGTGGTGATATTGCAATAGGACCTGAATCAGAAGACCTCGGAGTAGAAGCTTTAGCAACATCAACTGCTATCCCCACTTTAGGTCTCTTAGCAACTTGCTCCGTGTCTGAGTCACCCTTAATTCCTGTTGCCTGAAAAATATCAAAAGTTGAGACTCAAAACGTGTAATATTTGTAAAGACTTCTTATGAGGAAGTAAATACTTATCAACTGATAAGTACAAATATTAATCTCTAAACTTTATAAGTAAACACATTTATTGGTACATCTATTGCAACATAATATCCGATACAATGAAAAGCAACACATTTCTCGATTTGTGCGTGTCATCCTTGCGCAGGGGCCATGCTAATCTTCTCTATGAAAAGCAACACATTTATGATAGATTTATTGCAACATAAAGAAAACTGAAACATAGACCATGCAATCTTGGAACTTGCATTAAGTATGGAAGTATCAAATAATATTTCACTATGAAGCAAGAGACGAAAGAACAATGAGAGAACAGTAGATCTTACTTGTTTCTCTAGTTTGTCCAACTTGCGCCGGAAATCATTCCGCTTCTGCTCCAACATTTCCTGCTTTTTGCGGAGTTCTTCCTTCAACTGCTCTAAGCTGCCTAGTTTCTTCTGCAAAGGTGGAACCTTGGAACCATTTGTAACAACAGGGCTAGGTTTGTCAGGTAAAGAAGCAACATGGGTATGAACAGTACTACTCTTTGGTGCAGCAGCTTGGAGATTATCTTTGCTACTGTTTGCAAGAGATGAATTGGTTGGAACTGAAACAGATACCGGGCCATGGGGAGTTGCACAGACACTACCGCTACTACTCACATTATCATCAGGAATGCTATCGCGATTGGCCCAATATAGCCTGATAAAGCGATTTCCCATCACAGCATCAGGAGCCTTTAAAGCTGCCTCAGCCTCTTCCCTCTTCGAAAACTGGACAAAAGCTCGCTCAGTATTCATTGGTATGTAAATGTCAATAACCTCTCCAAACTTTTGAAAATGGGAAAGAAGAGCCTCCCTTTTATTGCTTTTCAGAGGAATCCCATTTACAAACAGAGTACGCAATGCTTTTTGAGATGGTTTCCGATTGTTACGCATGGTGTCAACCTGTGTCTTTTCAGATGAATCCAAAGGTTTTGGACCAGCATCCTCAGCAACGATCTGCTTTCCTTGCCGAGATGAAATTGGAATCCCTGCTGATGCCACTTTATCTTCCTTGCTGTCATTCTCAATATAATCCGAGGAACTTATTGCAGCATCACTTTTCTCCTTTACATCTAATCTACTTTTTGAACTGCCAATTCGACCCCAAACTGATGTACTGTGTGAACCAACAGCATTTCCAGAGCTTCTTAATTGGAAATTATCAGAAGGATCACCATTCATCAAAGATTCAGTTTCATCTATCTTGGATGGATTTAAAGCTAGAAGTGCATTTGATGTTTCAGGACAATTGTTATTCCACAGGGGTTGATCAGGATCATATAAATCAGCTCCAGTCACACAACCAGAACCAGAATATGAACCATTCAAACCCAAACCATCATCAGCAAAACCAGGCTTACTAGTTTTGCTATGTAATCCTTTATTATTCAGTGATGTTGTTGAAGAAGAACTTATCGCTGCTAGAGATCCAGGCCCAGGTCCACTGGTTGTTCCAAGTAGATGTGCACTTGGAAGTGAAACGGGAAGGTTGAACTGTGAAAGACTCTGTACATTGCAAAGAAAACAAATTGCTCTTTACAAGTTAAACAAATATCCAAGAAGATAACGGAAAAAGCATCTAGCCAAGGATTGGCAGCCTGATAATAAAATCATGCATGATAATAAAAATCATGACTTGGTGATAATGAAATAAAATTAGCATGTTGCAATCAGACAATTCAAACATATTACATTAGTGAAGCAAAAATGTATTAACCTCCTATGAACCATTTCACAGTAATAAGGAACCAGCAAAGGCTAGGAAGCATACAGCAGATCTCAGTGATATTCTAAGGTCAGAACATACGAATATCATGTCTAGTGATTATTTAGTTATGGTATTAAAGTCCAGTCCTAGTATAGATACATAAATATGCCTTACCATACAGTTTTACTTATACGTTCAGAAAACAATACACCAACTTCGAAAAAGCCACTGGTATATTATTAAAAGGAACTATGTTTGCAGTACACATACCTGAACATCCTCGATAACTATTCGATTGACACCATGCTCCATTGGGCATATGTCCCCTCTTAGACAAAAACCACGCTCCTCAAAATCTCTACAACGTTGGCGAGGAATGCCTATATTCAATGAAGAAGGAATTGGCGGTCTGAGAGTTCCTGGCAAACCAATGGAATGAATTGCATCAAGGCCCCCATTTGGTAATCCAGGAGTTAAGCCAAATGCATTCCAAGACGCATTCTGTGCATTTGAAATATTTAGCAACCCTCTTCCAGCAAATAAACTTGGAGGAATGGAGCCCTGAACCACTTGTGAAGCAATATCAGAGCTGAATCTAGAATCACGTTGGTTCCATGACCCAAGGTCCCTTCCTCTTCCCCTAGAAGGGATAGGGTCACCAGAAAATGTGTGATTTGGCCTGATTCTTTGATTTATATCCAATGGTGATCGAATTGTTGATGCATGGCCAGGGCGTCTCTTATCGAACTTTCCAGACTCAAAATGGTTGGAGTTATAATTTTTCCAAGGAGCACTTGCTTGAGAGTCGTTCTCCCTGAAATGGTTCCCATTTGGGAAAGGTTTGTTCCGCTTTCTAAACGGCCTCGTAAAAACTTGATCAAGTGTATCTCTCTCCAAAGATTGAGAACGAGTGTCCCGCCTACGATGCTTGTGATTCCGATCGTCGTCATCATCATCACTAACTTCTTTCTCCTCTGGGTCACTATTACAATCAGAAGAAGAAAGATTCCCTAGTTTCGGAGAAGAAATTTTTAACTCCATTTCCAATGTTGTTTTATGGCATCCAAGTGTTCCAACCCCAACTTGAGAAACAAACTACTTGAATCTCTAAAGCAGTTACAACAAAGGAACCTAGTATCAGAAGAATAATTAGTGCAAGTTACAATAAGGTTTTAATAATGAAAATTTAAACTTACAAAATCAAATTAGCAGTATCCTAAGCTTATTGCTTCCAAAATACGCATGATCTTAAAAGTGGATCAATTACCACTAACAGAAAACAAAGTACAGAGAAAGGTAAAAAATAATGATCAACAGAGACTATAATCGCGTTATAACCATTTTCTGTCAAACCTAATTCTTTACCAGACTCAAAGCTGTGCAATTCATATGCTAGTACATACAAAAACCTCGAAAAATGATTCTGACATATATGGTCTTGCAAATTTGAAGAAACAAAAGCTACATGAAACTAGACCCAATATCAAAACTGTACATATATCTGTCCCGTAGCCGCTATTTAAACCAGATTATGAACAAAATTATCAATAAATATTGCATAAAAAATGTCAACAAATCATGAAAAACGCTAATCAACAAGTAAACCCAGCAACATAAACATATATACAAAAAAAAAATAACAATAAAATAAAAGCTCCCGAAACAGAGGTTTTCGCAATTCAGAATTGGAAGACGCGAAGCAATCGATAAACTTAACGATATTGCAGAGACAAAAAACCCTAATAATTTGCATTTGTCGACGATAATCTAGGTTAAGAATAAATAGTCGATTAATAGTGCGAAAATTGATAAATAGGGTAACGAATTCTTACGGATTTTACCAGAATTCAGCAGCCAATGCCGCGAAGAGCTTGGAATAAGTGGAGATTGAAATAAAAAACTTCTTATGTCAGAAGGCAGCGACGAGAGGGACGAATACCAGTAACGAAACTGAAGGGGCAGGATCGTAATAAAGAAATGATCGACGGAGCTTTAATTGAGAGCTTGTCGTCGGAGAGAGATATCTAGGAGCAAAAAACATGAGAGAGAGAGAGGTTTTGTGACTGTGACTTGTTTGGGGGTTTGAAGCTTTACGGGGAGCATACAGGATTTTGGGAGAGAGAGAGGAGAGAGAGACGAAAAATTAGATTTGGAAATTGCATTTTTCTCCCACGAACTTCTACAAAATTATTGGTCGTCCTTTTATATTTACTTTTATTTTCTACTTCATCAGAGTATTCTTCTTTCTTTTTTTTTTTCCTTTTTTGGAAGGGTTAATTTAGTCATTTTCAATCCCTAAACTATAATAGGTCATATACAATTTCGATTCTTAGGGCTTGTTCGTTTACATTTTTTAAGTTAGAGTGACTTGAATTCAGATCTTAATTTGACTTATGGTGTATTTGAATATGGTTTGAGTTGGAATTCTAATTTGAGTTTGTGTTTGGATGTGCACATTTTGAGTTATAGTTTGAATTGAGAATCTATTTAAGTTTGTATTTGGGTTGATCAAAACTTAAATTTATATTTATATAGTATTTTAATAAAAACTAAATGGTGATAAACAAATTTTAATAGGATATATAAGTGGGGTTTTATTCGTCTCTTCGTTGTGAATGCATAAAAAAATCATCTCAATTGAAATTAAAACGAAAAAGTTATAACGTTTTTAAGAATAGAAAAAATATTGTTCATTAACTTGAGTTTGAGTTTAGGAACTTGAGTTGAAGGGAGAACTTGAACTCAGATTTTACAAATGAACGTGAACTTGAATAGAGTTAGGCTTGTTCAGTTGCATTTTTGAGTTATGGTGATTTGAGTATAGATCTTGAGTTGAATTTGAGACGTAACTTGAATTGAAGTCGTAACTTGAATTTGTGTTTGTGTAACACCCTGAAGAATTAATTGAGATTAATTAAGGTAATTGAGATTATTAGTGTGCCTAATCTGAATTATTAATTGAGAATTAATTAATAAATGTTTCTGCCACGTGTGAGTTTAAATAGTGCCAAGGTATTTAAATTATTCTCAGTAATTTATTTTAACCCAGAAGTGTGTATGGGCGCATTTCTGGACTGCTCTTTTAAAATATTGTACACATGTCCTTTTCTTTTTCTTTTTCCTTTTCTTTTCTTTCTTTCTCTTTCCTTTCCCGTGCACTCTCTCTCTCTTTCTTCACTCTCACTGCTGTGCTCTCTCTCTTTCTCTCTCACTCTCATTTTTGTCCCAAATCAAACGGATCTTGAACCGAGAAAGGATTTAAAGAAGTTTTCAACGCCAAGAGAAGGATTCGAGGTAAGATTACTGAAAGAACCTCTCTTGAATCTCAAGTTTTTAAATTTCAAAACTTATTTTTAGTTCAAACCGGATTTTGATGGTTTTTGAGTAAAACTAGAGTAGAAATTGGAGATATTGGGTTCTTTGGACTTGTTTTAGGACCTAGAACCCAGATCTAGTGGTTTTCTTTTGAAATATCTCGATTTGGGACTGGATTTGTAGGTTTTGGACTGATTTCCGTGAGCTTCTCTCGCGCAGCTGATTCCACCGGTCGACCTGTGCGGTCGACCGGATCACATGGAAATCGGTCATACCAGATTGCAGGCTGACCGGTCTGGTCGACCGGTAGTGTTGCACTGCTCTGTCACCGGTCGACCGGTTGACACGGGGTTTGACCCTGTTTGGCCTGAAATTGTTGTTTTGACCATTGTTTTTTGGGAGAACCCAAATTAGCTTCATTTGGAGACTTGAGATAAATGAATTAGCATTGTTAATCCTTGATTTGAGATTGAAAACCCTTGGAATGATATTTTGAAACATGAAAATGGATTAGGGCACACTAATAGGAAATCTTGGTTGGAAATTTAGATTTGGATTGCCTTAGGAATGAGAATTAATCCTAAAGTGTTGTCTTGCATCAGTGATCGCTGAGGATTCAGACTGAAGGGGCTTGAGGAAGCGGAAGCCGGAAAAGGCAACGCTAGTCCCAGGTTTGATAGTGTGAGGTAGGATTTCTATCCCTTTTCCTTGTGAGCCTATTTTGAAAAAGGATTTTGGCCTTGAAAATGTTTTAAAGAAAGGGATTGGTTTGTGAAAGAAAACGTTTTGAAAACCATGGCTTGTTTAGTCATGGAACCTCATGGCTTGTCCAGTCATGGGGCCCGCGGCTTGAGTAGTTCGTGGGGTCGTATTAACGATTTCAAAATGTTAATGAATGATTTCTTAATAAAGAGATCTTGTGAACTGGTAATAGAGTCTATTGCTGTAAGCCTAGATAGGATGCGGAGAGTGTATCCTCGGGGGCAGAACCCGAAACTCGGTCTGGGTAGGTGAGGCACTTGGTTAGGTGAGTAATTTGTACTAATTACTTGCTGAAGCCTGTAATATGGAGATTTTACATTTATTTCCTTTGAGAAAAAGGATGTGAGGTTCCGGCTATCTGTTGGAACTGAATGTCTACTTATTTACGTACCCATTTATTTATTTACTTGCACTTTATCTATTTATTTACTTTACGTCTCTGTAAATAATATCCTATTAGGCCTTTCGCTCACGTTTTATGTTTCAAATGTATTAAACCCCTCCCAGGAGACTATAGGAGCGGGGCACTGTAGCTGGATAATTGCTACGGAGCAGCTAAGTTGTGCTGCTATTGGAATCAAGTGAGGATCGTGGACATCCTCTTGGACAAATGTAAGGAATTTGAGAAATTCTGTAAACTTATGTAATATTTGGATGAACTAGACCCAGGTTGATATCTGTTGTAATGATTATTTACATGAGCATGTATGTACGATACTGTATGTCCTGTAGGGTGAAGCCCTGTGTGTCAGAGGCTCCGGAATTCTGTAATTTATTTATATTTTAATGCAGTTAAGTGTGGGGCCCGGTTGGGAATATGCTTTATTAATCCCTAATCGAGCTCTACGTCACCCACCCCGTTTGGGGGGGCGTGACAGTTTGGTTGTGTACATTTAAATTATGGTTTGAGATGAGAATCTTTTTGAGTTTGTGTTTGGGTGGATCAAAACTTAGTTGTATTTAGATAGTATTTTAATAAAAACTCAATAATTATGAAAAATTTTAATAGGGTATATGGGTGGGGTTTTATTCGTCTTTTCGTTGTAAACGCATAAAAAAAGAATCATTTCAATCGAAATTAAAACGAAAAAGATAGCATTTTAAGAATAGAAAAAAAATAGTATTCATTAACTTGAGTTTGAGTTTAGGAACTTGAGTTGAAGGAGAAACTTGAACTCAGATTTTAACCCCAAACTCAAGTTAAAATTCAAGTTTAAACTCAAATTTTACAAAAGAACATGAACTTGAATAAAGTTGTAACTTGAGTTTAATTTTTTTTAAAATTTTGGTGTAAATGAACAAGTCTTTTGTAACTTAAGTTCAATTTTTTTTTTTTAGTTTGAGGGCAAATGAAAAGACTCTTGAAACATCTCAAAACGAGTCCCCAATTTATAGAATTGTCTCAAATTAATGCTAATATTGCAGTCATGTTGATTTGGAGTGATTTGGAGTGCAGTCACGTTGGTAGTAGTGGTAAAATTGTCGCTCATGTTCTAGCCTCTCATGGTGCTCAATGTAATCAGACTATTGTGAGCTCTTGGATGATTTCTCGTTTTGTAACAGATGTTGTTATTGCCGATTTGGTTAGCCTTTGATTATTATCAAGCATTTTCCTTCAAAAACTTTTGTGAATTAATATGTTAGGTCACAGTTGCTAAGAAAAAAAAAAAATTGTCTTTTCCTTTGAGATTTTAATAATAATACAGAAAAATGACTAATTCTCTAATTTGAAATAAATTGGAATGGACTCATTTTATAATGTTTTAAAATTTAAAGATCGAAATAGATTTGGTCGATAAATTGTGAAATAAAAATAAATCTTACTATTTTGATAAATGTCTGGTATTTCTTTGCTCGTATGAGTTAATTGTTTATTTATTTATTTATTTATTGAAAGGAAAACTTCATTTATACTAATTAAATGAGTACAATGTGAATGACTTTGTAGTATAATATAGGGAGAAAGAGAAAAATAGGCTAAAACTTGAGATGAATTAAAATTAATAGGTCAATAGTTTACATAAGTTAATAAACAGGTTAAATTACTGTTTTTGTTCATAATTTGTCTGGTTATGAACCATAACTTGACAAGTTATTGTCCATAATTCACGGTTTTTGTCAATAACTTGTCTGGCTATGAACCATAACTTGACAAGTTTGTCCATAACTTATCTGGTTATGAACCATAACTTGACAAGTTATGGCCTATTAATTTTTATAACTAAAAATTGGCCTATATACTTTCTTAAGCTTTTCATATTGGCCTATTTTTTACTATTTTAATATAATATATAACCTTCAACTGAAACCGGTTCCACTAGTACAACTTAATTACGTTCAATAGGTAAAATGTATGCTAGAGGCCCAAAAACGAGAAGTATCTCAGCACACTAAGAACAAGCTCAATAATACTCTTTTTTACTAAAACCCTACAATCGATATAAACTTTTGATCATTTGAGAGCCACAACAATATAGCACAAAGGCCACTACATAGACTCCATATTAGAGAACAAAACAAAGGCCGGGAAGTGGGGAGACTACCTCCATTATTACAACGGAAAGCAGTAAAATAACGAAAACACACTAAACCTAAATGATGAAAATATCACCTTTTTAATTTGACAAACATAGAACTTAAAACAACCGGGTAACTTAAAATATCACCTTTTTAATTTGACAATGACGAAAACTATGGTGACAAGCCGACCACTGCTGAGAATGAGCAAGGAAGCCGCAACATTGCTAGCGAAGCAAAGGAGGTCCCAAAAGAAAGCGGGCCTCTGACGCAAAGAACCACAAGTCGCCACCTACCTCTATTGACTAGGGAGGATGCCGCCTTCATGGATCCACCGCCCGACAAAGACCAAAGTCCTCAAAGAGAAAATAACTCTGAGCACCGACACGCAGCCTCTCCACCATCTCCGCCTGACAAACAACAAAGCCACTTGGGCTTTAGGGATGCTGGCTCTCTAATGCAGCCATAACTAATAGACAAGCACGCGTCGGAACTGCTCCTTCCCAAAACGTGAGCACATAAAACAATTCCCAAAATAACCCCCGTCACGTTGCTCAGACACCCCCATATGGGGCCGGAAGTCTAGAGACCAACTTAGAGGCAACACCAGACTCCAACCCTTCAAACTCCCTTGTTGAGATGGCATACATACACCAAAAAGAAAAAAGAAGAAACCCTAACAGAGGGAAAGGGAGAGAATTTAGTTGTTTATTTAATTATATAAAGAAAAGATATTCCTTTTTAATTGTGAAAAATATAAATATAAAAAAAGTAATGAAATTTGCCTGAATTATTAATTTTTTTAGTTTGCAGTTGTTTCTGAGATTTTTGAATCTCTATTCATCTTTGAAGATTTTGTAAATTTTTCTTTTTCGTTCTGTGTTATCAAGAAAGGGATAATTATAAATCTTTTCGTTCCAAAATTAAAAATCAATGGATAAATATCGAGAATGGAAGTTAAAATAACTAGTAAGCGATACTAACCATATCAAGAGTACCGTCACCTGTCTCTTGTGTACATTATACATATAAATCTAGAAATAAATTTATTTCAACATCTAGAAACCTTGGGAATTATCCACACACACAAATTGCTAAACGCACTTATTTTTCATATTTGATTGTTAAATTTGATTCTCACTGTAACATTGTGTCAGAAATGAACAATACAGTAACATTCAATTTCGACAGTGAGAGTTAGACATGGCAATACCAACATATTCCTACAGGAACATTTGCATTATAATGGTGAGCTCCGAACAGAATTCAATTATCCACTTAAAAAAAGTTATTTGGAGTATACACAAATGAGATATAAACGGGTAGGGACCAACCAGAATGAGCATGTTCAAACTAACCACAAGAAAACAGAAATGAAATGGGGGAAAGACAAGTGAAATGCCGAGCAAAAAGAGTCACAGCCCTCATCCCTTTTTTCAGACTATAAAGACCTCATCAATGATCCAGCAATAAGTGAAACTTCTGTACATCAGTCTGAACAGTAACAAACATATTACCGTCCAAACCAACCCCTAGGAAGCTGACCTTCACCTTCATTCATCAACTTATCCAGCACAACGTTCAGGTCAACTGACTGGCCGTTCTCCGTAAGCTTTCTAACGGTTGCCCTCACATGGTCTCTGGGAAACCCCATAGTTGTCACTTTATCAATCACATCATCAATGGGAACCCTGTTTCCAGTCCCGGAAGAACCTGAACCAGCGCCAACCGTAGAAGCAGCAGGCAAGGCGTGGGGCAGTACCCGAGCAGTTGGCATCTGCGGATAACCACTTCCACCACTTTGAGCTGTGGTAGGAGAATGAGGTTTAACCCCAGATGTATATTGAGAGGGCAATCCACCATAGTGAAACTGTTCACTAAGCCCAGATGTCAGACCATATCCAGAGGGAAAACTCGAACTAGGCCGACTGGACGGTGGTGGCTCGTACCCATGAGAGGGTGGGGCCCCATAGAACTGCTGGGAGGGAGGTGGACCAGTTGGTGGCTGAGAGGGTGGTTGGCGAAGGTTGGGAGGGTAGTTCTGAGAAGGAACGTAAGGTGGCTCTTCAGAATGGTGGCTCAGCGGAGGTTGGAGTTGAGCAGGATTAACAGGTGCAAGAGATGGGTGCTGTTGGGGCGGTTGGGGTGGTGGCTGAGAGAACTGTGGTTGAGGAGTTGGTTGGTATTGTTGAGGTTGTGGTATGGCAGAAGGGGGAAGTTGCTGCTGACCAGGGTATTGCTGGTTTTGTGGTTCTTGGGTTTGACCTGGTGCCGGGAAGTAAGGGTCTCGCTGGGGGACAGAAGTGATCTGATTTTGAGGAAATTGGTTTGGAAGTTGAACTGGTGGTGGCAGGTTCTGCTGGGGGGCTGGTTGTGGAGGAGCATTTGGAGAAGAGAAAGAAGGATGTGGTGGTGGAATGTTAACCGGAGGAGGAAGCTGTTGTTGGGATTGTTGAGGAACATTCGGAGAGGAGAAAGAAGGATGTGGTGGCGGAATGTTAACAGGGAGAGGAAGCTGTTGCTGGGATTGTTGAGGAGCAGATGCTGCTGGCTGCACAGGATCCACATGCACTGTGTTCTGAGTTTCTTGATGCTGATCTACATTAGATAATTGAACCTTCGCAAGCTGTAGCTGGGCCTCAACTATTTCTTGTTTGTCCTTCAAAACCTGGACCCCAGATTGTACCTGCATGATTTTTAATAAAAATATAAGAGCACAATAAAATGGTCCACGAATTATGAAGCAACATAAACCATATGCTCAAATTTTTGTTCCCCTGACACGTGAAAGCAAGTAATCAGTTTGACTAAAGAGATTTCGTTCCATGACAACATGGAATCATCCACTACGCCTAAACCAGTTTGACTTGTATGCATCTAATGTTAGTAAGCAATTTGATTTGAAATTGAAGCAGAAACACCATTAGCATTAGCAAATGTTAACGGGAAATGGTATGTTTCTTTACTCCTGAGTTTGCTATGCCACTAGAGTAACTTTAACACAACAAATATATATATATATATATATATATATACTCGACCTAAATACAAAATGCAACCAAGACGTTAAGCTAACACCAACACGAAACACATTACAATTAGAGAAGATAGGGAAGATACCTCTCTTAGAATATTCTCCAACTGCCTCATCTTCCCATCAGTGCTTCCATGATTGTTCCCAACTGATACCTTCAAATCATCCACAGAATTCTCCAGATTACGAGTTCTACTTTCCAGTTGTGTCAGTCGAGCACTAACGCCATCCAAAACATGTAGCAAATTATCCGCATGTTTCTTCATGGTCTTATCAATCTCAGCCATGATTGTAGAAGAATCAAATGAACTTTGGTCCTTCTCCAGAATGAACTTCGCTGGTTCAACGGAGTCCAGAGAACTATAATTCTGTACAAAATAAGAATCACTATGAAAATGAACAGCAAGCAAATTTGTTCATAAAGACCCTATACCAAAAATGAGACATTATTTAGATAACCTGTAATATATTGAAAATTTAGAAATTAGATCAAAGCCTCTAGAAAAGGGAACAAAATCAGAAGAATATTATTCATAACAACGCACCAAGATCATATCACAGACATAAGATAACCTATAATGCCCTAGTTCGTCCCATGATTCCCTAGAACATATGATTAAAAAGCCTCCACAAAAGGGAACAAAACCACAAGGCAACCGAAGATATAAAAACAACCTAATTTCTTTGTACACGAACGGAAAATAGAGATTGAGAGTGAAAGGAGAAAGGAAAAAAATAATGATCAACAAAGACTAAGATCACGTTATAACCATTTTTATCAGCCTAGTTCTTTAGCAAACTCCAAAAGGTATGCAATTCATTAGCTAGTTGATACTGCCTATAAAAACCTTGAAAAAATTACCCTTAAAAAAATAACAAACTTTTTTTTTTTTTTGTGTGCGAGTGGTTTTTTGCTCAGAATTATGAACTTGATTTGATATATGAGGTCGTGCAGATTTCTGAAGAAACCAAAGTTGCTAGACCAAAGTGTACTCTGTTAAAATTAGACCTAATAGCACAGTTGCAAATACGAGGTTTTCGCAATTGCAAATTAAAAGACGTTAAGCACTCCAATAAACATAACGATAATGCAGAGACCAAAAACCCTAATAATTTGCATTGCTTGATAATAATCTAGGTTTCGAATAAAGACCCGATTAATAGTGAGATAAACCATAAAAAGATATTAGGACAACGAAATATTACTGTCTTCACCAGAATTCAGCAGCCACTGCTGCAAATTGTTCGCAATTCTTACATTTTTCTTATTGAAAACATTAGATAAACCTAAATCCTCCTAAAATTCCGATCGATCATAGAACTCCTTTGAAAATTCAGATAATGATAAAATCCTAAATCTACCCTAATTTGTTTGAGAAAGAGAAGGTGATAGATACCCTGAAAGGAGAGCCAGTTTTGGGCTTGGAATCGCCGGGGCTCCAAGCCCTAGTTGATCCTCCGATAGCCGGTGCAGAGTCGAAATTCGGAGGCGGCGAAGAAGAGGCTCCGAGACCGGCGATTGGGCGAAGAGGCTGGAAATCATAGCTGGGGAAGATTTCTTCCTTCTTGGAGATTCCATTGCCGGTTCCGCCATGGCCGGTCTGATCTTCGTCTTCGCGGGGATGGCTCATGAGGTCGATGAAGTCCTTCATCTGCGGCGACGATGATCCCTGCGATAGATCCATTATCTGTTTGTCCATATACGGCGTCGTATTCATCGATCGGACAAAACAGCACGAGAAACTTGATGTTTGTTTCTGGGATTTGGAGAAGTTAATCGAGGTGTTGTGTGACTTGTGAGGAAAACTAGTTCGAGTGGAGAGAAGCTTTCTGCTCTTTTCTCGAATTTCGGTTCCTTAGTGACGACGTTTTATTTGGTCATCAATGTATTAGCATTTTGTTAGTCCTTACTCCTTGGCATATGAATATTATAACTTTCTGTTTTTTAACGTGCTTTGGGTGTTCATTGCATAGATTAAATTGGATTAAAAGAATTTTGAGATTGGTTATGAAGTTATAGATTGAAAATTTTTCAATTTGCATAATCTGCTGAACTATATATATTTTTCTATATATGCTTAAATAACATATGTAAGATTTTTTTTTTCTATTATGTAATACATATAATTTAAGTATACATGTAATTACGTATAGAATCTCAATATTATTTAAATTTTATGTTATGTTATGTTTGTGTTTAATTTTATGATAATATTGAAAAAATAATAATAATAATAAATGGCCTATAAGAGTCAAGGTGTAAAATATAGGCTAATCCACGAAAGGACATTTGGTTGGAGGATTTAAACCATGTGATTCAAATCATTTTTGATTTATTTGAATTTTTTGTGAGAGAAAATATTGTAGCGAATCACGAATCATGATTCGAATCAAGGAACGAATTCCTCTACCAAACATCTTCAAATCGCAGAATTCATTGCGAATTGAAATAGTTTGGGGGGTCTAACGGATTGATAATGGATTGAGATTTTTACAATTCGCAGTAACGAATTGGATTGCGGATTGACCCTTAAGTATGAAAAGATGGGAGGTAACGGAGATCACTTTTATTCCACCGCATACTTAAGTATGCTTTTTAAGAATGACTGAAACTAATTAAGCAATTAAGTAATTGGATTATCGCTCGTGCTTCTTCATTTTGTTATTTGTTTTTATTTTTTATTTTTATGAAAGATTATGGCTCGTGTTTCCTTGTTATTAGACAATAGTTATAGGAGAAATTTTGGAAGATTTTATGAGCAAAGTGTTAGGAAAATAATATGGACGAATACAAAGAAGAACGACAATATGTTATGGAAAAACAAAAATAACGAAATCATTACAAACACTAAATCAACCTTTCTACCAAGCTCAGAAATGGAATTACAAGGATGTTGAGGCACGTAAACCACGCTTTCGTTAAAACAGATTCGTCCCCTCTGGCGAGTGCTTGAGGCAACGTTGGACGTCCGTCTCTCATGATACAACGACAACTATGGTAGCTCGAAGCACTATCGGAACCGTCCGGCGAACTAGAACTCGGACCTTCCCTCTATCACCAAAACTGAACTACAAAAATAGATGCGCAAAGAGCTTGGAAAGAGAAAGCCGAGAGAGAGGAGAAGAGATTTCGGACTTGTGTACATGTCCTTCATGTGGTGCATGGCTTTTATAGGCTCTCGGAATAAGGGTTACAAAACATGACATTATGGGACTTAATCGCACATCTTAAGGGTTACAAAACTGATGGCATTACCGGCCATTAAGTCCACCATTAAGCATACCATTAAGCCTCCCTTTAATCACCATTATGCTCATTTTCCAGCCATTAAGCACAGCATTAAGGTTAGGGCAAACGGCTAGAAAAGTCTTGGCTGAATCAAAAATAAAAATTGCAAAAGTAAGCTTGCACAGAGCGAGTTTTCTAGTCCGGCTTTTGTGTCCGCAGGTCGCGGGCACACACATTGAGCCCCAAACCCGTTGGGACTGTGATTCGCATGAGAGAGCCTCTTTGGTATACATACTTACCTAGGCTTCAAAGTACAATCAGTTATAAACATCACTATGGCTCCATTCCTAGCCAATGTGGAATTTTGCAATTTTCCAAACCAACTTAACCATTTCAAGTTGCATTCTTAAAGCATAAATTTCTCATTTACCCGATATCCATTTTGAGCGTATAAATATCCGATTTCAATCTCCTTGTGACAGAGAACATAAATCTATCAAGACCCGTCCCAAAAATATATTGAGCCCCATTCGAATATGGGCCTCAAAATGAACCTTTAAAATGGCTTAACAAGCCATTTTGTCCAACACAAAGGACGAATAAAACACAATTGTTCATAACTTACTGAAACCAAGAAGATTGCTGAGAAAATAAAACTTGGCATTACTCGTACTTCACTTAATTAGTTACACGCAATTGCTTCTTAACATACATATGACAAGTCGTCAGTTCACTTGCCTCTAAACATATGTCATTACCTTGCAAGGAAATATAGTAGTAGTTAATTAGTATTAGTAGCCTTAAACTTAGAATATGTACTCAACGGTGGATAGCTTGGAAGAACTAGGCCATGGGACTTGAATCACGACCATGTGTTCTTCATATTGGAACTCGACTTCTCTTCCATCAACGTGGCAAGCCGCCGGCTTTTCCGATGCAAAAACCCTCATCTCTCCGGAGCCCCTAACCCCGATTTGGACGGAGCTCTTCTCATCATCAAAGGCCAATGATTGGATGGCACCACCGGTGTTTAACATGTTCACTAGGCCTATAGGAGCAAAGTGGACAGACTTTTCAGCGAAAACAGTCACGGGTGCGACTGTAATAAGCTCAAAGTTGAAGGGCTCCAGTGATATTTCGACACTTTCGAAGGGATTGGAAAGGACAAGCTTCTTGGCCTGGGAAAAGTACATGGCGAAAACTCTCACACCCTCAATGGGAATTGGGCTCTTGCCACTGTTCCACTCTATGTCCTTGGCACTAGCCTTAGCGGTCACCAAGTGGGAATATTGAGAGGCACATTGGTTGCGCCTAGTCTCACGAGACCATCCTCCTCCTTGGCAATTGAATGCCCCAACAACTCCAGTATACTGCAACAAAACAAAAACACAAACACACATCATAAGCTACAAGCCTACCAAATGTGTATGAGGCCCAACTATTAAGTAAGAGTGGTTCGTGGCTCGTTACAGTGTTTTCTCTCACAAAAAATACACGTAAACCGAGAATAGTTCTGAATCATGATTTTGAATCCATGAACCATTTTTATTGACCTTCGACTGGTTCTCCGGAGTGGCAAAAATCTTAATCCTCTTATCAAGTTAAAATTAAGATAAAAAATCGGGGATCTAACATCATTTTCTCCTTTAGGACAAATATATTGTGAATAAAAAGCATGCAATACTTGAATGGACCTAAGGATGTTTGGTTTAGTGGCATCGCGAGGTTTGGAAGGAGGTTGGAGGTTCAATCTCGTATTGTATCAAAAAATTATAAATATACACTTGAATGGGAAAAAAGATATAATAAAGCAAACTACCTTGTTGAGGTTCCAAATTTTGAGCATGGTTTTGCCATCATGGAGAGGGTCCTCAAAGAGGCAGTCACGAGTGGGAAGGGCATAGTATTGGCATCTCAGAATGGAGCCATCAGGCAAAACAAGCTTCTTAAGCAAATCAAAGTCATGTTTCCCAACAGAGTCACTAACATAAATAGGACCTCCAGAGATGGCCCTGGACGCAGCATGAAACGCGGCGCATGGGTGGGTAGACTGGAACATGTCCCAGTCAGGGTGTATGAAATTGCCCATCCACAAACTGTTGTAGGCACAGTGCACCATGTGGCACCCCTGCAGCCAAAACGCACCGTTTGGATCGCCCGACGGATCCGTGCACCAGAAGTCATCACCTGTTTAATTTGTCATTAGTTAACATTTAGGTTCTGTTTATTTTACCGATTTAAGTTTAGAATTCGAGTTTTGCTACAGTGAAAAACTCTCATAAATAATTACATATAACTTTTTTACTGCAGTAAAAAATTCTCACATAAAGTCACATCTCAATTCAAATTTAAAACTCAAATTAACGAACTAAACGGACTTTTAATTAGACCCCGGAAAATAAAACTCATTTATAATGACAGATTTAAATTAGAAGAAAAAAAAAAGAAATTATAAATAATTTAAGTGACGTACCAACACGGCCTAAAGTAATGGCCTCTGTTCCGAGGAACATGAAGTCGTTGCAGTGCTCCATGCTGGCAATAACACCGTTGCCGTTGAAGTGTTTCCTGACAGAGGATGTTAGGGCTTTGTAGTAGGCCTTTGCAAGCTCAACTCGTCCACCATAGTTCTCGCATATCATCTCCAAGAGCTGTAGAATAACAAGCGATGTTATTCACAAGAAAAGACTAACGAGAAAAACTAATTAAAAAAATAACGAAAAAGTCGTATAGTTCATTCATTTGTTGTGGTTTTAGGAAAAGAATGCTTGTACTTTTGTGGTATAGCTAGTTTAAAAAAAAAATAAAAAAAAAAAAGAAAGAAAGAGTAAGCCGTAAAATAACCATACTCCATGTTACCTTGAATGTTTAAGATCTATTTGTTTTTTAAATAGAACTAACAAAAAAAAGGTTTCAGGAAAAGGTAAATAATTATGGTCTCATTTATTTTATCGATTTGAGTTTAGAGTTTGAATTTTATTATAATAAAAAATTATCATAAATAATCAAATTTAACTTTTTTGTTATAATAAAAATTTTAATATAAAATCACATTTAAATTCAAATTATAAATTTAAATTCTCTATACTTATTTTTACTAAAAATATAAAATAATTAAAATTTGTCGAAAAAGTAAAAGTAAAACCTTGTAGTACTAAATGAAAAATTGTGTTTACAACTAGCGTGCCGACCAAGTGGGTAATTAGCCATAAAGTCATAACATATAAAGAAAGCGTGCCGACCAAAACGATCAAGGAATTAACAGTAAATCCTATCAAATTTGTTAATCAAAGACAACCGAAATCAGGAGAAACGAATTAAAAAAAAAAAACAACAAGAACAAATAATAAACAAAGTTTTAGTGGTTAATTAAGAAAGTCACTTAATTACATTAGGCCCTACAAAGTGACACGTAGCACGTTTATGTAACAAGAAACGTTAAAGTTATCCCAAATCAAATATTAAACAGAAAGATTAATGAGAGAGAAGAAATACTTACATGAATGACGTCAACCTTGACCCCATCGATCCCGACCGATTCCAAGTGGGAGTGAAGTCCCTCATACATCTCATCAACCTTCTCCGGTGGGACCAGTCCCACACCGGTGCTCACGATCTTATCAACGGCCAGATCCTCCATCGTCATCTCCAACCCCGGCGACAATTTGGGCCTCACCACTTCCGCCTCCGGCAGCCCCGGAACATTGGGCCTCAGCCCACCCCAGTACCCGCAAAGCGCGTGCCACACGTACACGTACTCCACGCTCTCGAACTCCTCCTTCAGGTCCCTCACAAACGCCCCCATGCCCTTCCCAACGGCACTTTTCTTGGGACTCACGTAATCCCTGAACTTGTAATTCTCTTGAAACTTCAGCAATCTGCAAGGCATTTGTTCTCCGGCCACAGCCTGGCCCATTCCCTCCTTGGTAATTGGGTCGGAATCATGCCCAATGGACTGCCAGCCGTCGTCGATCAGGACCAGCCCAGGTGGGCACCCACCTTGGGCCAGGCCCTTAACTCCTTCCAGAACACCCTGCGGGTGCACCGTAAGGTAGAATGCGTCCCACGTGCACCAACCGAATTTGTCCACGATGCCCGGTGGGGTCTTCTCCTCCAAGAGGTTGAAAGTCCCGAGGTGAGTTTTCATGACTTTCATGGCCTCCTTGACCAGACTGTACGGATCATCGCCAGCGTGGAGATAAACGACACTCCGGAACCCGGAGGAGATCGCCGTCGTTGACCCGCTCTCGACGCAAACGGCGACGAAATCGTCGTCGTTTGAGTAGGGCTGGAGGGAGGCCCGGAACGGGCCTTCTAGAAGGGGCAGGATCAGGACGTACGGACGGCCCAATGGTTCGGAGTTCTCGAGGATCACCATTTGGGTCTCGCTCTCGAGGTCCCGACCTCTGGACCCGGTCCAGTGGGTGGTCCACCAGACCTTGAACCGGAAAATGCTCATGAACCGGATGTCTGTCAGCTTGCCGAGGGGCGCCACGTGGCGGCTGCTGGGATTGGCGGCCTCGAAGCCGAGGAAGCAACCGACGGTGGTGCTCGACTTGTGGTCGGTGTACGGTGACGGCGTGTTGTTGACGTTATCAGGGACGTCGGAGAGGATGACGTGGCCATTGGCCAGCAAGTTTGAGCCTTTGACGGTAAACGGAGACGGGTTAGTGCACCCATTCACCATTGCAGTGGCGTCAGAGCTAGCTTTGCCCAAGCTTGGAGGCATGGGAATCGACAGAGAAATTAAGAAGTTACTTCTGTGAGATCTGAGAGAGTTTCTTTTTCTTTTTGGGTTTTTGAATTTGATGAAATGAAGAGAACCGGAGGGTGGTATATATAGAGAAGCTGATAACACGTATAAAGGAGCAATCCTTAGTGTAGTATCAGAAGAAACTTCTGTATTTCTGTAGAATATTGGAAAAGAACGGAAAAAGAATCGTTTCTTGAGGCGATTAGTAAATGAAAATCTTGTGAGTTTGTGGTTTTGTGAGGATGACGAGTTTGGGAAATGCGCAATTTATAGACAAAGCTTTATGGGGTTTGGAAAGTGAGTACGAAGGTGGGTGGGAAAGTAGATTTGAATTCTTAAATCTTTTTTTTTCCGATTATTAATTATTAATGTTGCTAGAGGAATTAACGGGTCATTCTAAAGTGAAAAGTAACGGTTTCTAATTTCTTTCTGTGAAGCAATTATCCATAAAAAATTCATAATTAAAGGAAGAAGGAAATTAACTAATTATCCAAACATAATTGTATGGGGTAGTTGAGGGGGAAAAAAAAAAAGAAAAAACGTCCGGCGTGGTTTTGAGATGAGATGGTGACAATTAACGTATGAAATTAAGACCCTTAAAAAGTTTGATTTGACCAAAGGACAATGACTAATTAGTGATGACTTTTGTATAATTTATGGGCCCCTCTTTTATATATATATATATAAATAACCTTGAGGTTAATCATAAGAAAGAGGGAACAACATGCTGGAAAATTAATTTTCACTAATGACTCTTGAAGATATCAACATAGCGGTCTAGCCAATTTGAGTGTTCAGAAATACAAAATTTTGAGCTTCCTCTAATAAATGGTCTATTTTCACGTATAATGTAACACAATATAAGGTTTTAAGATTAATAAAGTGGTAAAAAAAATGAGCATATTAAAAAATCTATTTTTTATTTCATATTTATGTTTTTTTCAACTCTACTTTTTTTTTGTCATTTTATGTATTTTCAAACTCTCACTTAATTATTATTCACGTGTTAGATTCCATCTAAAAATAGACAATTTGCTGATATCTATGTATTTCAAAAAATCACGGTAGTTACATCTCTATTTTAAAACTAGATAATATATCAAATACCAAAATGAGAGAAGTAAATATACTAAAATGTCAGTTGGTAAATATAACCCAAAGAGAAACATTACGTGTATTTTTTATGAGAGAAAACATTATACCGAACTACGAATTATGATTCGAACTATGACACGAATCCTTGAACTAAACGCACTCTCGTAACCACTTCGTTGATTCGAGTTTGTAATTCGAGTTGAGATGTGATTTTATGTAAGAACTTTTTACTGTAGTAAAAAAGTTAGATGTGACTGTTTCTGAGAATTTTTTACTATAGTAAAACTCAAATTCTAAATTCAAATCGGTAAAGTGAACGGGGCGCATTTAGAAAAGCATTCCGCCACAAAAATCAGCCATACCCAGATGCAGCAAAGCATATAATTTTTTCCTAAAAGCTAATTACCACATAGCAAATAGACCCACCACAACCTCAGATACATTTGTGGCCAGAGTGTACAAATTTACCCAACTGCAGCAACCACATAAAATAAAATTAGAAATCGTCAAAATTAAAAGAAGTTGTAGGTCGATTTGATTTTTTAATTTTAAATTTTTAGAGTTAAAAACTCTTAAAAAATATCACATTTAACTTTTTTTTATAGTTAAAATTTTTTTAAAAAATATCACATTTCAACTCAAATTAAAAATTTAAATCCCCCAAACAACCCAAAGAACGAGACATTTATTTGTTTTTCCTATTTTCTCAACCTTCACGCTAATGGCGTCTTCGACCAAACTAGCATCAATGTTAATGGCGAAAATGATGTTCGATGCACGGACATAGGTATATTCACATTTTTCAGCAGCGAGGGTGCAGCGAGCGAGATCCGACGACCGTGACATGCAGGGATCGAGTTTTCGAAAGCGAGGGCGGAGTGCCATGGAGCTCCACTGGTACGCTCGCCAGCTGCTATGGGGGAGGATCGATCTTTTTGAGCACTCGAAGGACCAAATTAGCAAGCATTGGTCTTTTTTTCTTCTTCTTCAACTCCAACAGCGCCTGGGTGGCAATCTCAGATCTAGCGACGTGGAGGAGGCAATCGACGGCATGATTCGCGACCCATCCGAGCTCCGTCCACTCCAAGATTCGCCGCTGAGCTCAGTTCGTTTCAAGACCAAAGGGTCGCCGAGGGTGAGATCAGGCGTCGGTGAGGGCCAGGGGGCGAGGTCCGGCGCGGTGGTGGGGTGCGGTGGCCACCAGTAGCCTGGTCGGCATTGGTGGTTTTTTTTTTGTTCATTTTTTTTTATAAGTTGTATTCTGATATTTTTTAAATAAATCTAAAAATAATCATGCGCGTGAGATTTTATTATTCTTTGGTAGTCCTTCATATTTTTACCACTAGATTTTCATCCTACGGTCATAATTCGTTCCCTACCGCCGCCTACATCAAAAAAATAAATCGCTTATAAATGATGAACTGTATTCTATGGTACATCCCCTAATTAATTGACATTAAAATAAATCGCTAATAAATGATGAACTGTATGTTGATGTCGTATTCCTGTCCCTGTACAAATACCCAATAGTCATGTAATTGTTTTTTTTTTTTTTTTTTTTGAGATATATTAATTAAAGAAATTTCTAGAGACCACTTTTTTTTCTTTTTTTTTAAATGAGAATTATATTCTAAATCAGAAAATTTAGATCACTAATTTATACGGGAAAGACTCAAGTGCAACTAGCAATTCAACCCGACTACAGAGGTTTAACTAAAACTATCAAGAGAGTAATACGTGTATCGAGTTCCAATGAAAAAAAATTAAAGAGGGACACACCTAATCGAGCACAAAATTGATTCTTTTAAACACACCACAAACACCGTAAAAATCAACGGATAACTCCGATCAGTCAAGATCGAGAGACCAAGAGCACCAAAACCTAACACAATGCCACATCGACACGTGATAAGCGAATAAAACAGAACGATAACGCCGGAATGTGTGGAGACCACCTCTGTTATTATAACAAAAACCCAACTAAACACCCTAAATACCCTAATAAACGGCAAAGACACCGTCACTTTTATTTTACAAATACATAAATCAAAACACAAAAGGTACCCAAATGACACCAATAGACTCTCCACGAAGCCGCCGACTACCACCAAGAGTGGACGGGGGACTGCAGCGTACCGAGTGAACTGAAAAAGAAGCTGAAAAGGAGCCGAGCAATCACCGCCACCAAACGCTGCCGACAAAGGAACAAGCCACACAAACAAAGCCGACACCCCATTTAGCCTGAAGCCCCCACTACTCAGGGGAGAATCGAAACACAAACCAAGAATTGACACTCCCATATGCCCCCAAGCTGCGACCAGACCACTCCCTCCATCATCTTTAACCATCGAAATGTAAAACAACCCCCTTTGAGAGAGCTGGACATTGAGGAGACCTAATCACAGTCACTCTACTACATTAGAACACCCAGCACTGGTAGCCAGAAGCCCACCGAAAAAATATTCTCAAAGCCCGTATGTCCCTCTCATAGCTTGACGTATTCGGAGCTTTACCGAAAAAGTATCACCCGCAGCATATGAGCACCTTTCTTTGGGGCCATGACTATGGAGCACTGCCTGAAGGCGGTGCAAGACTCTGGCCCTTTGATGCCCACTTCTTAAGCAACGCAAGGAAGTAACCAGAGGAAAAGATAAAACCCTATCAAATGGAGAGAGAGAGAAAAAAAAAAACAAAAACGTTTTCATTAATTTTATACGTTAAAATAAAACTAAGAATTATTAGATGGTGAAGTTGACATCATAAAATTCCATAATTAACATACTTTATATATGTAAAAGGAAGTTATTTGGAAGAGTTATTTGGGTGCCTCTTCGATTTTTTTTTTTGTTAGTACACAGTACACATTTAGAGGTGTGATTGGGATTGAATTGCTAAATGTAATGGGGTCTTTTGTGTTTGAATTCGTGCTTGAATTTCTCTTATTTATAATGCAATTACCATTTTTTTTTAAAAGAATTAAGTTATTGGTAAATAGTAACTCATGATAAATCAATTCAGCCTTAATTATATCTAGCATTTTCTTTTAGACAAAATGCAAATGCTGTAGTGCATGACTAGCATCAAATAATATTTATCCACTATATGTATATCAAAGAACTAACTATATTAGTAGGGATCTTCAGCTGTAGAAATTATTGGACAGATTAGCAAAATGAACTAAACAAACAAAGTTGCACATAAAAGAAACAATTAAGAGCATTTAACGCTGCTACCTTTTATGTAATTCGTTCTCATGGATTTGATTAAAAAATTTTATTACGTTTGGTTAGAGGATTCAAATCATGTGATTCAAACCATTTTCGATTTACGTGTATTTTTTGTGAGAGAAAATATTGTAGCGAACCACGAATCATGATTCGAATCAGGGAATGAATCCCTCTACCAAACGGTTAATCAACTTTTGTAAGGCATGCTTTCAACTATTTACTATTTACAAAAGGCAATTCAAGCCGTACTCTATCATTCTAAAAATGTTCTCAATCAAATAAGCTCCAACTGGCTATGAAGATATCAAAGACAAACTTTTAAAATGCTGTGTTGATAGCCATGACCAGTTTTAACATCCCAATCCTTTGTGAAAAAATCAAAAATTCTTCATTTAACTGCCTTTCAAGAAGAACGAAGACATCAATTCAACCAAAGTTAAAAAAAAAAAAATTGTCTATGCAAAAGTTGCTAGTATAGAAAAGGAAGTACTATTGCTATTATCTAATGCCTAAACAAGATCCAATTATTCGTCCACAAACATTCCAAAAGCAAAGAAGAAAGAGAAAAAAATAATAGGAAAATACTAACGGTTCAAATCTCTTGACAATTTAAGGTCATATTTATTTCACTAATTTAAATTATTAATTTTAATTTTATTACAGTTTAAAATTTTCATAAAAAATTATATATAATTTTTTTTATTATAATAAAAAATTTTCATATAAAATCACATCTCAATCTCCAGTGATATTTTGTATGAGTGATCAAATCGCATTATAAGGTGAGGAATAATATTCGTTTGCTGATTGGTAACATGTCGTGTCCTCCGGGTAGACACTCACACTGGTAGACCCCTTTAACTTTCTTCTTCTTTTTTTTTTCTTTTTTTTTTTTAACTTCTTTTTTCTTTTCATCTGAAATTTCTTTATGCATTTGGA